ATTGTCCAAAGAAAGACGATACATGCACATTAAGTAAAAGTATTAATTTAAGTTTCTTACAATATTTTCTGCACATATGTACGATGTTTAAATTCAACTTTTAATAATAACACGATTTTTATCGCTGTAAAACATTGTAATTGTTACCGAACGCTGTAGTATAACAGATGAAATTAATCTACATGTAGTTGTAAAATAAAAATGTTTATTCTTATTAGATGTATAAAACCATTACAAATAATGTGGATTTTAGAAGAGAAAACAACACACTTATAGAATGAATTACAACGGTTGTAACAAACATACAAGGCGATTCCGTGTAAAATTACGAGAAAAAATATTTTACAAAGGTATGTGGACGTAATACACTCGTATTTTAAAATTTTTATGCAATTTTCAATATATTTATGTGTCAGTTTTATTTTTTATGATGATTTATTGAGCAGACTTCTACATGTATCTGTAGACATTTCCCGGCCGTGATTATACTCGGACAAAATGATACAAAGAGGCAATCATATTAATTGTTATATTAAATTTTCACAAATTGATATTTAAGTAATATGCTGTCATGGTTTTTGTTAAACAGATAAATGTTTGTATCTATATCAAACAAAAATTCTTAATTTTTTTCTAAATATATCAGGCAGTGAAAGTAACCATTTTTTATCAACAAATCCATATGTTTTACAGTCATAATCGGTTTTTATTTTTCTGCTTCAAGTTCACACGAAGTCCACGTGCTTGACCTGTCAATCAAAGTCATTCGACACTGTGCAGGTGTGAAAGTCTCGTCACACCGAAGACAGTGTTAGTCTTTCCAAGAGGTTTTAACATTTTTTCTTATCATTTCTAGATCTGATTCCAACTTTTCTAAAAAAAAAAAAATGAATAAATGAATGAATAATATACATTTTGGGAATAAACACTTGGAATGATTAAGCCGCTTGAATTTGAAATATACTCCCTGCCAATATAAAATATTACCGCCGGCACATGTATATTTTTAACTTCTATTGTTTAATGACTTTGTTTAGATGCATGTTTGTTTTGAGACTGAAATTTTTGTGCTACAAAAAACATTAACTTCTTTTAAAATGTTAATTACAATGTACTGGAAATACTAAGTAACCGGTTTAGGGGAGGGGGGGGGGGGGGTCTTAATAATATCGAATGAAAAACATATAAAATTACGGTGAAAAATATCATTACTAGAGAATTACCTTGGTTATACAAATGATGATCATGTTATAAAGGCATTTCTCTCTCTCTAATTAAAGACTTTATACATGTATTCAATTTAATTCGCTCTAAAGATATTTAATTAACTGGATATCCGCAGTACTGTTTATCATTCTCAGAACAAGTTCTAACATGTATTTCTGTATTATTTGAAAAAAAATGTGATAGAAATAAATATTTTCGTATTTTTGCTGCAGTTGGTAAATTAATTGACTTGGATTATTATTGATCCATTAACGAGTTGTCGTCTTTAACAATCAACAAAATGTTGCAGTGCTTGAAGTATCTGTATATTGCCCGTATTTAAATTTAATTTTTCAGCATCGTTCTACATAGGTACATACATGTACTTATAACAACATTTATTATGCAGATAAATTTTAAAAATAACCTAACAGCTAAGTTAGAATAATAAAAATAAATATTGTAGATAATTTTTTCCCATGAAATAATGATTCTTTAAACACGATATGTTATTTATTAAATTCAAAACCTGTAAATCCTTACTTAAAAAAAGATAAGTCCTTTCACTTCGGAGTTCCAAATGACAATAAAGACTGATCGATAAGTGAACGCTGAACACAAGGTGATCGCAAAGTGAACGAACGAAGAGCGAACGGTGAACGCTTTGTGAACGGTGAACGCGAGCGCACGGTGAACGCTGAACACAAACCTGTGAACGGAGAGCGAACGGTGAACGCACGCTAAACGAACGGTGAACGAACGGTGAGCGAACGGGAAAATGGGAAAGTAGAACGTTTCAGGGACTGTATACACCACAGACAAATATTTAGTATAAAGGATGACTGCACTTTTGGGGTCTTTTTCGGTTGCTTCTGTTGCTTTTATATCTAAACCTTATTTCACTTTTGTATGTTTATGAAAGAATCCTGTCAATTTGGAACCAAATTTAAATCTGAAAATGATTTTAGACTGTGATTCAATAAAAGAATTCAATGTTTTTTGTCCTTACTGCTTTCCAAATATAGTAATTTACACTTACCTGCCCTTGATTGAACATTTTATATGCATGAGAGGTGGAGCTAACATTGTAAGAATGGGCTTAAAATTAGACTTGATAAATAACAAAGACATGTTTGAAAAAAGAACGTGATCACTCTTTCCAATCTCCCCCTTTATTCTGTATGGCACAAATACACTTCTGATAAAGGTTTCAAAACAAAATTAACAATATGAGCACGTCAATGTAATTAAAGTAGATTTTATATCAGTGCCAGATGACTTAACTTGTTCTAACACAATGTCCTAGTTAGCACAAAACATGCTACCTTACAAGTCACGTAACGGGTTTAGTATTCACAAAGTTACCTGAGGTAAGAAATCACGTGGTGAATTATAATATTCAACATGTCACAATGCTTGGTTTCAACACAGAGAGCGAATGTAAGAAGAAGCAGTTTTTTTCTCTTTCTAACCATGAGCGCATGTTTGTCTATTAATCTCCTTTTGACTCATTATTATTTATGCAAATATACAACTACTGTTAAACGTAGAACAATAGACAAACATGCGCTGACTATGTATAAAGTCAGTAAAAAAGCGGGCGTCCTCATTATCGAACGGAGATTCAAGAAATTGTGATGACCCCTGCCTTTGAAAACAGATTTGAACTTCGTAAATACACACTTTTATTAAACGTAATTACATATAGTTGTAGATTGGATGTTGACCATTCTTGTAATGAAAAGAAAAATGCTTGTTTTGAAAGTTTATTTTGTCGCAAATTTCGCATTTCCTTAAGTGCAGTCATCCTTTTAATACATGAAAGGGCAAGGGTCTACATGTATGACAATATTACAAGCCGGAAATAAAGTTACAGAGTTACTATGCATGGAACAACGTCGATAACGATTTTTAAAATCATTTGCTTACTGATTTGATTGGTTCTTTTGCTTGCTAGTTATCCTTATCCCTATGCCACTTTTGCTGTTTTGAAATTACGTCAATGCTACCGGAAGTAGCATCTTGCTACCAGAGGTAGATAACTTAATTTCAGTCTGTGTATTTCATATTAATGTTTGAATTATAAAACCAAAGTTCTTTCTTATTTCATTTTTTACTGAAAAAAAAATCCAAATTGAACATCTGAACCTAATATTTCAATGCCTATTCTAAGTAGGTAAATGCTAGATTTGCTAGTTCTATCATTTGTTTGCTAAAACTGATCCTGGCAATGTTTTTTTTAATGCTGAACCAGATGCTAGCTGGATACTGATGCTTTTTTGCTTATGCTTATGCTGATTTGTTACAAAATTAGTTGCTTTTACTTTAATTATGATAATGTTCAAATAAAACAAAAATCTGAACTCGCTTTTATAATATAAAGTACCAGTTACTAGTGCATTTTGTGCAAGTATGAAGATCATGGAATAATACCTCAATTTAAAAGTTCAGATTTCAAACTAAAGGCTGTTGATCGGAATTGTAAACTACTTTATCTCTGTCTTCTTATTTTCTAAGAGGTATACAAAACTGTATTTTTTATTTATTTATTTATTTATTTATTTATTTATTTATTTATTTATTTATTTTGGAGTTCTCTAAATGTCGCTAAATAGATATTCTTACAAACGGTCAACAAACGAACACGTTTATATAAATTATGTATATATTAATTAGTTCTTTCAGTATACATATAATCACTTCTGACAACGCACTTCATGTTCCTTAATGAAAATTACGCTGTAAGGTTTTGGATATTTGTTATGCATATGCTTCCATGATGAAAAGAATCGCATATTTCCGAAGGAAAAGAAATTTATGTTACTTTTCCTATCCGAATGGATTCGTTGAAAACACATCCATTATACAAAAACTGCCATTCCTGACAACTTTTTACAACAGTTGCGATTCTTTTTTTTATTATACAAGTATAGATTACAACAGTATAAAGCCATGATTCGAGGAACATCGTTTTTTTCATTCTTTGTTTAGAAAGACCGCATTACTTTCGTTATAAACCATTCCTTGTTTATATTGACAACTGTTATCTATTTTTTGTTAAACCTGTTACTGTAAAACATGGAGGTCATAAACAATAATGAAGCTCAAAAGTCCGTTGAAGCAATACAAATCTGGAGCGTATTAATCACGATCCCCTAAAAATATTTGAGTTCGGATCAGGTGCCAGGGATGAGTACGCATCCCCTGTCAACAAGTTGCACCCGTTGCGTGATCCTTGACATGATGCAAAAACATAATACAGTGTTTAAATAATGGCCTAACACTTAGTAGGAAAAACGTCAGTCAGAATTCGACTTTATGATAGATTGTATTTGCTGACAAGGCCATTGTATCGACCAAAGAACTTTAAAAATGATGACTTTAAGCGAGACTTTATATCCTTGTTTCATCATTATGTTTGTAAATTGCTTGCCTCGCTTTAAAAATTGTGCGTATGTGGAGAGACTGTTGTGTATCGTATCAACTGGGAGATTTAAACCTCATATGCAGGTGATAAAGGTATATGCAAATTTCTTGTAAGCTTCAAATAAGGAATCGACAATAATTTTTATTGCAAAAATTGTTTTTTGTCCTGGTATAAAAATTCGACCAAATCAATATGAATAACAACTGCAGAAGATCTGTGCTATGCAATTGAGCCTAGTTGCGGAAATCATATTTTTCTACTGAAAGTGTGGCTAAGCATGTTCGAAATTAAACAAATAAAATATAAGACTATGATGATAAATTGTTTGATATTCTAAGACATAAAAAGATAAGAAGGTAACCCTTACATGTTTGTTGATGCAACTTGATGCGAAGAGGACGTCTCCAAACTCCATTTCCTTTTGAAGATAGCACACCTATACCATTATAATTAATTAAATTAGAAATGAGCTATTTCACACATAATAAATAAATAAGATTATTAAATAAATATTTCCATGAGCATAAAAATAAATTTATAAAGTAAAGGTCACGAAAAACTAACTTACTTACATATGCTATTAATCAATTTCCGAAAGGCTGCTTACAAGAGATTTTTCAGATAGTATACTTGGGTGAAGTTGATTAGATTACCCAAATTAAAAATGTATAAACATTGCAAGTAGAACATAAAACATATTTACTTTTAAGACATTTATTGTTTATTTTCATGTCTGTAAAAATAATTTTATAAAGTAGGCACATGTACATGTATAAGTACGAAAAATATCGTCATGGTAGTTTATATTGATAGAAGAGCCCATGGCTTAAGATATCCTTCATACAGTTGGCTTTTAAAATGTTCTAATTAATTCAGCTTTAATGAATTGACTAAAGAAGTGACTTTCATAAATAATTAAGGAGATGATTTTCAGAGGATATAAATATTTTTAAAATGCAACAATTTGATAATACTCTACTTGTTGTGCACAAAAGTGTTTCCTATGGTAATATACTACAATAATGGACGGTTTAAAAGGGAGACATTACAAATTATCAGGTCTGAGTAGGGTTGTCACGAGGGGCGCTTGAACTCGAGGGTGACAACCCTAATCAGACCTGGTAATTTGTGATGTCTCCCTTCCGAGCAGATTATAATAGCGAGCACAGCGAGTTCAAAAAACTAACGTGTAAGAACAAAGATTTTTTTCTGTCTGTATATTTGACAAGCTGTTTTTGTGTGAAAATTCTTTTCAGAATTTCTTCGCTCAGTATTCCATACAAAAATGGCGGTTTTTATAGGCTTAGTCATTTTTAAGATTTACATGTAGTTTTTGCAGAAAGCTTCAAATAATGAAATATGTAGACAACAAACAGTAACCAAGCTCAGAAATCCAGTGAATATAGCAAACACGGAACTCTTAAATTTTAAGAGATGGGATCATGTGTAATGGATGAGTAAGCATCCCCTGTTGACCGGTCTCATCGACGGTGTGTTCCTTGTCATGATCGGGCATACGGAAAATATCCGTAGAAAATTCAGTGTGACAATAATGGCTTAACAAATAATTGTATCTACTCTATCATGTCGTTCGTTAAGAAAAGGAACTAGGCACGTTAAGGGAACGTAACTTACATACAAAGTCATTGACTCCATAGTACAGACTGTGTCTCGGGTTCTTTAAAGTTTGAAGATGTGAATCAAAAGTGTTAAAAAGTGTTAAAAGACTGACGTCACCGTTAGAATTTATGTTTACCAAATATTTCAATTATTTATATAAGTTTACTCGTTCACGATATTTATTTTCATCTTAAGGGAGACGACAAAATTGTCACACTGTCCCTTGTGCTATTTCATAGTCATCCTATAGTCACAAAACAGTTGTGAGGGAGACATCAGGAATTGTCTCCCTGCACGCGACATGCTTAACATTAATCTAATTGACTGTTTTAGCCTGAAGGATAATAAAATGGATTATTTCTCTATGGATTAAACTACTTGCATGTTGTGAGCTTATATGCCAGGCAAGAGTTTTCTGATTAAGTCGGTGTTTAATACAATATAGCGCTTTTAATTGTAACAGTACTAGTGACTGTCGCATTTATGTCGAGTGTTTTGCTATAAGGCAACCAGTTAAAACATACCCCCGGTATTTGAAAACTCTTATTCTGACATGGCTGTTAGTGAAATTCACATATACCAGATACGTTTTTTGCTCAGGATATAAATGCTTTCTTTACAAAAATAATAATATTTTAAACGAAGAATTTGGATCAAGGTAGGAAGTAAGCGCTCTTCAATTTATTACTTTTGTAGCATGAGAAATCCCTTTGAGTCCAGCTTAACTTTAAACAGTACAAAGAGAAATACATGTGTATACACAGTTATCTGAAGCTCATATTTATCAAAGAATCTTCAACACTGCAATGTGATTCAATGAAATATCTACCTGGTTGATCTCGCATACTTTTATTTTATCACACAACATAGGATCGGATACTTGTTGACAGTCAAAACAGGCAGGTCCACGAGTCATTGGATATCCTGCAATTTGGAAATAGGTGTTGATATTCTGCCCAAGTAAAAATGTCATTATTAATTTCTAGGAAGGGGAATGTAAAGATTTTTTCTACGATGATGACCGTTATTTTCTTTCTTATCAACAAAAGTTTCAAGTGATGTGCTTTATTCACAAATTTTATCACAATATTTAATTTCTAAAAGCTAAAGCATATTTATGTATGTTTACTAAGCGTTTTAAAACGTATAAAAAATATATCTAATTTAACAATTATGGAAAGATTCAACTTGTTTTAAGGAAAACAATTTCGTGTAAATCTGCATTGAATACGAGTACGCCGCTCCAAAATTTTATTTTAATTAGGTGGATTCAAAATTATAATTAAAAATTTAAAACTACAAGCGACTTCCAATCATGGCGAGTTTCAGAAGCCAAGAAACTTGGTCTGGGAAATTAACAATCTGGAAAATTAATTACAAGTGTAATTATCCGAATATAACACTGGCCAAAAAATAACCCTGTATTCAGTATGATCAGGTCTTGCTTCAAATGTGATACTTCTACCAACTTCATATTTTTATTACTTCTAGAACAGCTCCAAACAAATCCTAATTGCTCTCACATACATATACCATCAGTGCAACCTGTCTTAAACACTGCTTCAAGTACCAAGTTAACGTGTTACTCCATCCCTCAAATCTACTTTTCAAACGAATAAAGATGTGTTGTAGAGTAATGTAATATTGCACTGCTCTTTTTAACTCTAATTCGAGTTAAAAAAGACGATATTAATCCTTATCGTATTCTCCACATTTTACTAACACTAGTCTATCATTTGTTTTTCATTTTTATCCCTATCATTTTCTGTTCCGCTGATTTACCAAAAAATGCTCAAAAAAAAAAAACTTGGCTGAAAAAAAAAAATTAAAAACATCTATTCCATTTGCTTGTCCATCGAAAATATCATTTTAGTGTACAGGTTCTCAATCTAAGAAGAACTTCTTGTGTTTGCAAATAAGATATAGCTATAACTTACAAGTATTAGAAGATATATTTTCTTGTACAAATCATTCACAAACCTGTTTGATAAAATGAAATTTTATGTCTGATGGATATTAATATGTCCATGATACCAAGAGTTCATCATCTGCGTGAATCTTATTGGAAAAAAAAATCATAGATACATGTATTTATATTCTGATCTGGCTGGAAAACTGATATATTTGAGTTTGGAGAAAATTTACTTCGAGCTCCTCTTTTTTTAAAGTTTACCTCATCCCACTTATAACTGTCATATCTCGCACATATGAAACACTGCATCAAAAATGTATATTTTATATGCCGCATATTTTCTTCAATATCAAATATAAATTCGATGTCGTCCACTTAAATATGCTTTTTTACTGAAATACATCTTCTTTCTCTCATTATTCACCTCTGTTTTACTTTCCTTTTCCTTGATATTAATGAATTATTAAGAAAGAAAATAGTTGAATTGTTTTTATTCTATATAAAGACCATCTACTTAACATGTCGTATTTTGAATGCAGTTTTTTTTATCGGTTAAAATGGTCAGTAAATTCAGAGACGTAATATTTAAAAGCATCAGGGAATAAGCCAACAAATCTCTGATTACTTAAAACATTTCTTTCTTCTTTTTTTTCAAATGATATACCTGGTTGTCCACATCCTTGGTTGTTACAAAGATGAGAAGAACAGCATTCCATGCACTGACTATGGTGATAATGTGGATCCACGCCGTGCAAGCTCTTTATTTTATCATGGTGAGCACGTTTCGTTCGACATGTCTTCAAGAAGTTTTCGATCAATTATATAACAATATTATTTTCCTGAAGTGAACGCTATATTGAATTAAAACCTGAAATTAATGCTCGAATCGTTATTTTCTGTATTTATATCTGTATTTGTAAATTAATTACCTACGATTTTTTTCATCTAATAAAACTAATAACTTAATAATAGTAAGGACATAAGGATGAATGGTGAAATTAGCGTCTAAAACAGTCATAAGACCATCATTTATGAATATTAAATTTTCAAATAGTTTCGGTAGATGTAAAAAAAAATTTAAACAAAAAAAAATTACAATATCAAATTATTAATGTAGTATATAAATACAAACAGAATAATGATTACCTGCGAAGTAGCACATCCAGTGTCATAGACAACGGCACCATTCTCGGAAGTATGACTCTCCGTAAAACAAACCTGTGAATTTAACTGTTTTAAACTTATCACCTTAATGGTAATATTGGTGAATTAATTATTCTTAATGATAAGTTTTTTTTTTCTTTTCAGCTGACAATCAAAATAAAAATTAAGGAGGTATCTAGGGGACCCTGCTCAGAGCATTTTTTAAAATATATATATATATATATAAATTTAGTAAGATTTAATGTTTAAGTTTCTTCATTTAACCCTCACACAAGCTTGCATAACAATTATACACCTGACACACTTGATTTATCGCTCTAAACAACGATTGTTCCTCTAAAACATTCTTTAGTTATGTTTATCTCGTATTCTGCCAAGAATTTCATAGATATTTATCTACGCATCCTATATGAATATTTTAAGAAAAAAATAATTCTTTATAGGAAGAGGATTGTCAATTTATCTCCATAAATATCCCAGGGGTCTGTGTTTATGCTCTCTTCACAGATTTGTATTTATAGATTAGATCGATCACTTTTAGGTATCTTCCCCTTTTTTTTATTATCAGCTATATGTTTCTCAAAGACGCTTACGAATAAACTCAAAAATAAAGAAATGTACAATTGTAAACACTTCTTAAAAGTCTTTTTTTACTGTTTATATTTTTTTTTTCAATTTACAGACTAATCTAAGCAAAATTCTTTTGGTCTATCGTTCTTCTGAAGACAGGCTTGAGTGTTGGATAGATTTTCTTTCCCAAAGTCTTAAAGTAACTGCACTTGCATTATTTGCTTTCAGAAGCATACAGGAACCCTCGTTAGAGGTAACAATGACATGTTTTATTCGTGATTGCTTTGTGTCATAGTAACCCTTTTAACATACAACTTACCTCCCCTTCACTGCATTTTCTGACCGTGTGACAATGTCTGGGAGAGACGGAATCAGTACAGGACAAACAGTACAGAGCAGCTGTAAACAGAATCAGTACAGGACAAACAATACAGACCAGCTGTAAACAGAATCAGTACAGGACAAACAATACAGACCAGCTGTAAACAGAATAAGTATACAGGACAAACTATACAGACCAGCTGTAAACAGAATCAGAACAGGACAAACAATACAGACCAGCTGTAAACAGAATCAGTACAGGACAAACAATACAGACCAGCTGTAAACAGAATAAGTATACAGGACAAACAATACAGACCAGCTGTAAACAGAATCAGAACAGGACAAACAATACAGACCAGCTGTAAACAGAATCAGTACAGGACAAACAATACAGACCAGCTGTAAACAGAATCAGTACAAGATAAACAATACAGACCAACTGAAAAATTCAAAAAAAATTAACATATATGAAATAGGTTTACAGAATAATATATATTTTTGAAAAATGATCAACCTAACCCTGCTTTTAGACTAAGTCCCTGAATTTCAAACGTCAAGTTGAGGGTCTATATCCTTCACTACAATGCAAATAATTTACCTTCTAATAGATGCCCAGGAGTAAAGAACACATAAGTATATCTCTGAGAACCACGAGGATTTGAATTGAGCGTATATCTTATCTTCTTTTTATTTTAAATCCGTTTAACAAGGACATATTTTCCTTTTTAACATAGATTCATGGCACTACACGATCACCTGAATAGCAAAAGGATTTCAAAATTCAAGAAGAGGAGAATGTGCCTATCAGTACTCTTGTACAAATGATTCCGTCTGCAAAATGATTTCTTAGTAAAACTAAATATTCAAAAGAGGGTGTTGCAGTTCTTTTGTTATTTTCCCTAAAGTTGTAGCAGTTTAAAAGAAAAAAATTAAGTAATAGAAAACGGTATTAATTTTTTTTCAGATACAACGGTATATACAGCACAATGTAGAACAATATTTAGAAACTGCATATCGACTGCATTTAAAAATTTAAAGAGACAGGATTTTTCTTCAAAACTGCCATTTCCGATTTTTGTTTCAAAGAAGCATATTTTTGAAAATCACAAAAATCGAATAAAAATTATTATCCATCCGAAATGCAAAATGTGCTCATAAAAATAGCACATAACTTTCACTGTCGGAGCTGTTCTAGTGGTAAAGCGTGTGGACTCTATGCAATGATTCTTTTACCTGAGAATGGGGTTCGAATCCTGGAATGGCTGGTATACACGTGCATATACACTGTACATATTTTTTTCTTATATAATGGAAGTACAATGTAACATCTCTCTTGGGAGAGAAAGAGAGAGGGAGAGAATGTCAGAAAGTTGATGGGTAATATTTTAAATGCATGCAGAATTAAATTGTTTTCCTTGATATTGTGATCTAAAAGTAATAAAACATATATTTAATGTTATTATTTGATTTGATTTGAACATATTTTATTGTAATAATACATACAAAAGGATTGGATACAAGTTCTTTCAACTTAATAAATCCTCTCCTTATTATACAAACAGTGAATACAATATATGATTGTCATAATAAGTAAATTGAGATAATTTACGAAATTTTATGTTGTACATGTAATATATATGAAAAATTATAAAGACACATACTCAGAGTAATCTACCAGAGCTCTAATGTTACATATACACTGATTACAATGTTTATTGAACAAGAAGCTTTCATATTTGATAAAACATTTAAAATTTTTATACTGCATATACATATTGAAATCAAAGACACTGTTTTGAATTAGAATCTATCTGATTCTCGAATAAATTTCTGGACACTACAGAAAATTTTAATATTTACATCGGTAGACAAAGATTCGTTTCCGCACAATAAAAAATGAGTATCTATTATATTTTGCTGTTTAAGTTGAAGAATAGTGTTTATTAAGTCATTTCTTGGACGTTCATATTTCTTGCATACAAAGAACAAATGATAAATGGCTTCAGTTTGGCCGCAAGTACATTTGGGGGAAGAAATTATATTTCTCCGATACAAGTCGCTATTTAAGATACAGTTGTGTCTTAATTTAGTGTGAATTATATTCCAAAAACGTTTTCCATATGAAAAATAAGAGGGAGGTTTAGAGGATGGTGTACAAATACTTTTCTTAAATTGATTGATGGACTTTAATTCCCTTACTCCCAGATTGAGAGAATTCCAGTTATTAATTACGTCTGGGACAAAGGATTTTTTAAAGATTTCAAGTCTACATTTCAGAATTGTGTAGTTTTCTGTATTACGAGTATTGTATGATGAAATGTTCCCTCGAGTATTTTGGAAAATCTCTTTTAAGTAATCAGGGACAGTGTTATTATGTATTTTAAACATTGTAGTTAATTTAACTTTCTTCCTTCTCTCTACGAGAGGTTCCCATCCCGTTTCTGAATAGAGCGATTCACTAGAAACAAAAATGGGGAGACCTGTAATGATTCGTGCGGCAGTAAGCTGAACTTTTTCTAATTTTTCAATATCATATTGTGTACATCCATCCCAGACAACGGATGCATATTCAAGGTGAGGCCTAACAAAAGCTATGTACATTTTAGAAAGTGTGTTACGTCCAAGAGTGAATTTGAGTTTTTTCAAAAGACCAAGTATTTTATATGCAGTATTTACTATGCTATTAATATATTCAGACCAACTTACCGGTAAGTCTTGTGAAAAAAGTAGACCAAGATGTTTATGCGTGGATACACACTGTATTTGACATTGTTGAAAATATAGTTTTGGAAGCTCAAATTTTTTTTTAAGTGTAAAGAATATAGCTTTAGTTTTTGAAGGATTAAATTTTAGTAACCATTTTTTAGACCATTCATCTAAAACTTCTAGATCGTGATTAATATTATATTCTATGTTAGCAACATTTGACGAAGAACTTTGTATAGAATTGTCATCTGCAAATAATCTACAAAGTGATAACATGTTTTCTGAAACATCATTTATGTATATTAGAAATAACAAGGGACCAAGGACTGAGCCTTGGGGTACCCCGGCATTAATAGCCTTGCTAGAAGACAAAGTATCTTTGTACGTAACTTTTTGAGTACGATTGTTCAGGTAACTTTGAAACCATTCAAAAAGATTGCCCGAAATTCCATACGTTTGTAGTTTAAAAAGAAGACCCTTGTGCCATACTCTATCGAATGCCTTTGATAAATCACAAAATATCATACAACATGATTTTCCCTCATCAATATTTTTAGCAATACTGTGGTATGTTTCTAGCAATTGATAAACGGTTGAGTGACCAGGTAGAAAACCTGCCTGGTATTTGTAGAACAAATCATTTGTATGTAAATAATTATACACATGCTTAAAAATTATTCTTTCCATAATTTTACTTACGCAGCTCAGTAATGATACTGGTCTATAATTTGATGTTAAAGACGGGTCGTCTTTTTTTAAAAGAGGCAGTACATGAGCTAGTTTCCAGTGGTATGGGAAAACTTTTTCTTTTAGAGACCTGTTGAATAGTTTACATAATGGTTTTGAAATAGTCTGGATTGTTGCTTTCAACATTTTATGACTTATGCAATCTGGTCCTATAGCTTTGTTTACCGGAAGTATAGATATCATATCAATTATTTCCTGTTCTTGAATCACAATATCACTTAGCCTATCATTACATAATGAATATTTTTTCGGTAATTCATTGCCATTGTCATCTATATAAGAAATAGACGAGAAATAGTTGTTTAGTATTTCAACCTTTTCTAGATCAGAAAATGCTGTTGCATTATTTCCACTTTCGGATATATAGTGAATGGGCGGTATATCTGATGAAAGTTTAGTGCAGAAAGCTTCTTTCATTAGCTTCCAGTATAATTTGTTGTTATTTTTATTTGCATCGTTGATTTGTATATCAATATTGTCATAGTAGTTTGACAGCGCATGCTTTTTCATATTATTAACTTTATTCCTAATTTTACGTTTTCAACGATTTATTTCGCAATCTATTTCGTATTCTAATAAATTTTCTTAAAAGGGAATCAAACCAAGGTTTGTCTTTAGGTCTTATAGTAATTGTTTGTTCGGGTATGCATTCACGAACATATGACAAATATTTTGAAGAAAAAAGCTCAGTAGCGGAGTTTATGTTTTCTGCATTACAGATTAGCTCATCCCAATCACAAGATTCAATTAAATTATTTAATTTTTCAATATCTGCATTTTTATACTGCCATATTTTACGTTTATATGCACGATTAAGATTGTAGTTTTGTGAAATTGATATGTAGGTTGCTTTGTGATCACTTATAAAGGAGTCTATATATAGAACACCTGAATCGTTTGCTTCAATGTTTTGTGTTGTTAAAATGGGGTCAATAAGTGTTCGTGTGGTATTCGTGACTCTCGTTGGTTCATGGATTCTATTTGTGAGGTTATTGTTGTTGATGATGTCGTATATATGGTGTGAAGGAGGAATGTTTAAAAAATCTGTGTTTATGTCACCAACAATTATTATTCGATTGGATAATTCGACTGTTTTATCTATGGACCAGGAAAAATTTCTCCAGAAAACATTTTCAGTGTGTGGTGGGCGGTATATACAGCACAGAAGATAGTTAGAGGTAGGGTTTTCTATTTCAATCCATAAACATTCAATATTTGTAGGTTCTAAATCTACCCGACGACGGGCAGAAATAGCATTTGATAGATAAATCATCACACCGCCCCCAAATGAATCCCTGTCTTTGCGAATAATACAGTTAAATCCTTCGATATGAAGATCATCATTTAGTATACTATTGTCTAAATGAGTTTCAGTGAAACAGGCGATATCAAAATCATGAATAATTGTATTTAAATAATCTATCTTGTTTCTTATGCTTCTTATGTTTAAGTGAAAAATGTCGAGGACACTCTCATGAGTAGGACCAGGGTTAATCTCGATATCACCAGACAACAATAAAGTAAAAGTAAAAAATTGAAAGAAAAAGTTTACACACATCGATATTCTAATAAAACTCTTTAAATCCCATGACAAATGTTTTTTGAAGAATTTACGGGCGTATTCCGATAACTGTTCAAAACTAAAGAAAACAAACATTGAAGATGCATAAATACCTCTACATGCAAGGTAGAAATTTCCTATTGCGGCACGATGTTGCATAACCGTATTACCCATTGTCCATGACTGTATTTATGCAAAATAAAAAGTGATTGATGTTTTGGTCGCACATAGGAAAGTATATATGTGTCAAATAGAAATACAAGGGAAAAGATTGTTGAAAAATAGGTTGACAATCACACTTTTTTGTTTTAACATAAAAAAAGAAACGATGTAACAAAAAAGAAGCAAACAATGCAAATGCTAGAAATATACAAAAATAAGTGACTTTAGTGAAAATTAAAGACAAGTAATATATGTACAAAAGAGAATAATGGGTTTGAAACCGAAACACGGTTATGGTGTAGTTTAGAATGATAAACAAGTTAAGCAAACAGAGTCTTACTAGGCAGATTGCCATAGAGAAAGTGCTTATGCTCACAATTCTGCTAGATGATTATGATTTGTGAATGAAGAAAATAGACGATATTTCATCTGGTAAATTTATTTTACATGTTGGATCAAATGGTCAGCCGTTTAAATTCTCACCATGGGGCGTACCTTGATTTCCGGAAAGAGAGCTGGTTGATGCTCCTACAGAGGTGGCCTTAACCACTGATGAATATAACCCCTCCTGTGTGTCGTCCTCAGCCTCATCTATCGTCTCCCTTGCCTGAGTGTTTGTAACTATAAGACGGTCCAAATCAGTTATGTTTTTAATAACGGCCTTTTTGTCATTGTTTTTCTTAATATAGATTTTTCCGTCGTATGTCCAACAACCTTTAGCCCGGTGATTTCGGACAGCTTCTCTGGTCTTGGCGAACAACATGGACCTTCTTCGAGTCAGTGCCTCGTTGATATAGATTTTGTAGCCATTAGTAGGGTTGTCATTCCAGCCCTTTAGGTTGCTCTTGTTGTTATAAACAAGGACCTTGTCGCTGTATCGTACAAATCTGACAATAATGTCCCTTGGCCTGTCTTGACGAGGAGGTCCAAGACGATGGGAAGTACTAATAGCATTGACATTTCATGAAATTTGCCCTTCATTCAAAACACATTTGTTGATGGTGTTAAGTATTACATTGTTAGTGTTCTCATCCGACATTTCGGGAATTCCAGTGAACTTTAAGCATGTTTTTCTGGAGTATTGCTCAAGATCGTCAACTCTATTCTCTAGTTCCGATACCCGATCTTTGAGATCCCTAACTTCATTAGCCAGTCTGTCTATAATGCTGTTCTTGAGAGCTGGTTTATTTAAGATGATGTTTGTTGCTTGCTGTAGTAGGCCATCGTCATTAGAGATGTTGTCAAGAATGTCACTAAGATCCGAAAGATCTTGAGACATGTTTTGAGACATATCAGAGTCCGAGTTGGGCCTTGACCTCTTGGTTGGGTTAGATTTTAACGTTGTCTCATTGTTTTTGGATGATTTGTTAAAGGATCTGAATGTTTTTTGATGTGCATTACCTCTTCCACCCATTGTGATGATTTCTGAGACCACAGTTACATACAAATAATGTTAACATTGAAAGTTTAAGGCACCCAGTTTCTATAATGGTACTTACAGCTGTACAGCTGTATAGGTGAATATAGGTGAATAGTACTCAGTACTCAGTGCTTGATTATTGCACAAACTCCACAAGATTGCCACGCATTTTTCATACAAAGTACACACAAAGTACTAAACACTGATAGAAGTGTACTGGTTACCTTATCGATGAAGATCTGAAGCTGTTATCTACATTTTTCTCTTGATTTCCAGCAAAATTTGCGGAGCTAAAAAAACCCCCAGCTACACCATATTTGGTCACGTGGTCTATATGTTATTATTTAGTGGCGAAGTCTTAAAAAATAGTAATATCATTTTAAATAATATATTTTTTTCATACGCATTTCGTTTCACTATTGTTCTGTTAATTAGTGGCTCAGATTTGACTTGAAACAACTGAATTGAATTGCATGGATATTGCATCAACAGCGTGATTATTGGACACATTTCTATATATTGAAAAATATTAACGCATGCTGTCTACAGTACATCTTTCAAAATGATGTGCGAGGTGCAGTTGCCATTAATTGTGCTTTTTATCGTTCTAACTTTTATTAATAATAGGCTGATCATTAATTATAATAAGGTCTCTTGATAAGAAAATACAGTTAATTTTGCATTATTTGAATATCATGTAAAACTTACCTGAGCCAGACACAAAGGTCAGAATAACAAACAGTTCTACAAGAATCAAAGAGGACAAAAGGGTAATAATGGATAACTTCAGTATAAATAATTTTTTATTACATGTAGTCACATGTACTGAATTTTAAGGGTTTTCGCTCATAAAAGTAAGTCTAAAAAATCTTATGATAACAATTAATTCATATAACGGGTTGTTGAAAGTAAACTGAGAGATGTACATCCAACAGCAAAGTACACAGGTGCTAAAAGCAAATTAGTTTTCTGAGGGTGGTCAATGTGCAAAAACAAAGAACAAAAGTCAATTAACACTTTCCTTTGCCATCTTAACCTTTCTGCAATAAGTATAAACTATTCTGATTACATTTAACTTACCTTTTAAAATAAAATATTTTAGAATTCATCATTTTTAATTATCATTGTTTAGAGACATTAGATTATCGTATATTTCTAAACATATTTTACAGTCAGAACATGAATTTTCTCTGAATGCTAGAATATGTGTACGAGCATCGAATTTATGTTTTCCATCAGACAACTTTTTATATTTATAAAGCCAAAATATGTAAATTTTACTAAAGAAATAATGGCAATATATTCACCATTACCTGTATTATGTGAGAACATTGCTAATCGTTGTGCACCTGTTCACTAGTCTGAACAAGAAACTCTGGCTTTATATGACCCAATGACAAATAGATAAGACTTCAAATTCCCCTCATGAAAGGAACTAGCAATATAAAATACTTTTATATGAGCAATTAACATATTTTTGCCTTTCTGCCTAAGCTTATTTTAATCACAATTTCTGCCTAACGTTATTATAATAACAATATTATTGTGATATAGGTGAGTTTCGCTGTAACATTTAGACAGGATTCTCAGTACCGGATTATCCTTATGTCATATGTACATATTGTTAATTTTCCCCAATGGCAAATCATCCCTTGGAAAAAAAAACTTGTAAGTTAACCTCTTCCCATTGGGATAAGGTATATTTACCACATAAAAAGCCCTGTAATTCCCACAGTTCAGGGATCGACATTAACGGTTGTCCGATTGCCCGGGACAAGTAAATTCTCAGTTCGGGCAAGTGAAATTGTCGACATACATGTACTTGTCCGATCGGGCAAGTGATTTTTTTCTCATACAATTTATAAATAAAACAATAAATTGAACACTTGATTTCCGCCACGCACCTGACTGACAATGTTTTGCATTCGAAATTCCTTGGTAGCATTTCTGGATTATACCGTTCATTTAAAAATCGAGTTCGTTGTTTTCTTTCGTAGGAAATACACTCTACGCCTAACAAAATTTTGTTAACTTCTTATTAGTAAATTAGATTATTCAAGCACAGAATATAAGTACAGTGTAACACGTTGTATCCTGATCGTAATATGTATGTTTCGTAGCAACTATCTTCCTTAAGCGTTGCTTCACAGTTATCGCTGAAAATCACGAAATACAAAATGATCCTACCGCAAATAATATGATATAATTCTCTCGCCAAAATTATTCTATAAGGCCAAAATAATTTTTTTTTTTTTTTTGGATTTGCCTCCCGCCTCATTGAAATGACCCCTCCTGGAAAAATTTTATTGCCCAAAAATAAGAAGAATACAAATATGATATTTAAAAAGGAAATAGAGGGTTATTACTGCATGGCAGTGTGTGTTAACAGGTTACATTTACAAGTACAGGGGTATACATTTATCATACGTACAAATGCAGGATCAAAATTTATTTCAGGTACCAGGTAGCTGAACTTGCCAAATTGACAATAGTGTATTTCGTCACATTTTTTCTTTTCATAACGTTTGCAGTAATTAATAATTTTCATCTTAAGTTCCATCCTAATTTTGGGCAACCAAGTTTTGCATTCGGACAAGTCAAAGTTTGAGATCACTTGCCCGAAGGGCAAGTGAATCTGAAAGTTAATGTCTATCCCTGCCACTACACCATGATCGGTTTGGATTTGACTGTAATTTTAGGGTTATCGCAGATTCTTCAAAACCCACAATGTCGTTTTAATAAGGCTACCAATTATTGCACTCTGAAGTATTTTGTGTTTTATTTAGTCATAAACAGTAAAAAAAAAAAAAAAAACTTCAGGGGTAGGGGATGGGGGTCTATGCATTGGGAAAATATTTAGTATATAAAGATTCCCTTTGATAACATTTTGTACATTTCACACACATATGTTTCTCATCTCCTTCTAAAATAAAATTCTCGAATCGTACATCAAATTTCTCTGCCCATCATACAAGGTTTGTATTTTGACAATCTCTTTGGAAACGAGAGAAATGTCGTAAAATCTGTACTCCTTTGATAGCCTTGATTCTAATCATTATTTCGTGTAAAAAGGTTCAGAAGCAAAACCTTCTGAGAAAACTGTAGCATTACTAATTTGTAATTTTATAATTAGAGGTCCATGAAAGCACGAGTCTCGACGTCCAGCCGAGTGTCATATATTTCCCATGACAACCGAAACTGGAACATTGGACTCGTGACAATTATTTCAAGGTTTGTTAAAGACCATATACATATATTTTGGGGGTTGACCTACTTTTGAAAAAAAAAAAATATTAATTTTGGCCATACCTTTTGAATAGTTGGTGCTAGGGCTCTCAATATTTCACATGTGTATCCCAACAATTTAGACACTTTAAACTTTACCCTTGCGTTTTAAACTTTTGAAAAACTTTAATTTTTGCCATATATCTTTTAAACGGTTGGTGCTATAGCTTTCATCTTTCGAATATGTATTTCGTGTGAAAAGACATTCCTTTGGATACAGGCAGTTCTGATCTTTTATCATAGACCTTGGAGTTTGACCTTCTTTTGAAAAACTTACACCTTGGCCATAACTTTTTAATGATCGGCGCTATGGCCTCCATATCTCACATGTGTGTTTCTTGTTTCAAGTCCTTCCCTTGGGCAGCATTAATATTGAACCTTTGACCTTAACCTTGGAGTTTGACTAACTTTTGAAAACCTTTAACTTTGGTCATAACTATTGAACGGCTATTGCCAGGGTTTTTATATTTTCCAGATGATCGAATTCCTTCTGACAAGATCTTTTTTGAGGTCTTGACCTTTACCTTAGAGTTTGACTAGCATTTGAGAGATTTTAACCTTCGCCACAGGCTGCCATAAGGGGGCATCAGTGTTTCACAAACACATCTTCTTTTTGAATTTATCATTGGGGATAGTTGTATGAAGTTAGGATACAAACGCACAAACATATATGTATCTTGTAAATTCTTTCAAAATTGGATTAATGCGCTCAATAATTAAGAAATGAAGATATCATTTATAATTTGAGACCTTTAATTGAATAGTTGCGTGTACCAGATGAACCAACGACATCTTCAGTTATTAATATGGCTCCATAGAACATATCTCAATTTTGGTCGAGAGCTACTGTTCCTAAAAGATTTTGAAAATTTTTGAAGGCTGCGTTGAATTTTATGGTTTAACCCTTTCGACGCCAAAGCGACATAAATGTCGTTTACTGTGTCAACGCCAACCGACAAAAATGTCGCTTTTCAATAAATGTTTTACTTTTTCTTTTATTAACCATTTTTCTTACGTGTAATTAAAAACTAATAGAATCATTCATTACTACGAGTGTGGGATAGTGAAATTCCACCAAGGGGACAAGATTCACGGTCCAGGACGAGGCTTTGCCGAGTCCTAGACTGTGAATCTTGGCCCCGAGGTGGAATTTCACTATTCCCACACGAGTATGTAATGAATGATTATTTTTCTCGCATTATTTTATCCAAAATAACGGCCTGTCAATGACGTCGCCATGATAGGGCTAAAAATATATTCTTTTAATTTTCCATCTAATTAAAAATCTAAATACACCATCGGAGAGAGCGTACCTGAAAATGGTCTACACATAGTGTAAACCGATAAAATGAATTTCAGTCCTTGTAAATTAATTAGATAGATAAAAACTGGGAATAAAAAGACTTATCTATCCAATAGCGTACACATTCATTCAAGAAGAATCCTTCCGCGATCTAAAAATAGTGCCATTTAAAGAGTGAAAATACGACAATATTTTGAATGAAAATAAGTTTATCTTAATAAGTTTAATGACAACATTTTAAGTATATGTAATATTTTTTAACATTGTATTACAATTTCTTTATATAAAGACGGAATGTTTACGTTATCGTTCGCGGCGTAGTAATACACAGTGTAAGACAGAAAAATCTCACACTGCTGTCTCACACCGGACAAGTCAATCTTACACTGGAGATTATGCGAGAAAGTTATATCTATATTTTAACACAAGTATAGGACTTTATTTTTGTATATGTACTGGTCTTAATATGACGTCATATTTTCTTACGTTGACGTTGAATTATGACGTCAGTTTAGGAGTGAGTACGCTAGCGTTGTAATAAACATAGTAAAGTATGGCGCACCATTCCGACATAACTTCTGACCTAGATTCGGACATAAATGCTGATGAAGATAATGAAGAATTTACTACATTTCGAGGTCCGTGGTTTAATGTAGTGGATCCTAACTCTTTTATCATGCCTGACCCTGATTTCAGGGAGGAAACAGGACCCGTCAGTTTTTGTCCTGGGATGTCAGCTTTGGAGTATTTCACAAAATTTCTCCAGTATGAACAACACGACATAGTAGATATTCTTGTGAGGGAGACTAATCGATAAGCAGATCAGGAGATATCAAGGAGAAGAAGCCCCCCCCCCCCCATGATTTTAGGTCTGCATTCCAGGTTCCGTGATTGGTGTCCTGTAACTTGAGAAGAGATGTTGGCTTTTTTTGGGCATCGTTTTGAGCATGGGAGTAGTGAAAAAACCAACTTATGAATCCTACTGGGAAAGTAACACACGTGCGTGGTCAATGGAAACTCCTAATTTTTCCAAAAATAGGGCTAGAAATCGTTTTCAAGCCATACTGCAGTTTCTTCATTGCAATGACAATGCTATTGCAGCAGAACCTGGTGATATTGGTTATGACCCTCTACACAAAATTTCACCAATTATAGAAATTTTGAACGAAACCTTCAGCCGAAATTACAATATGTTTTCATTATACTACATGTACATGTACATGTATATATAGCATAAATCTTTTTTTATCACGAGGAGAATAAGCAAATTGAAGTTATAAATTAATGTGAACAGAATTTTCTTACATATATCTCTGTATCCAGCCTCTTTCTGCTGTGTTGCTATTATTATTATAATTTTCTATCTGTAGGTTTTTCACTAAATATTATTGAACCAGTTTCAGACAAAACTGGCATTTTCACGAGTATCTTACTTGTGGTTTTGTACATCTTCCATTTGTGCCTCTGGTAGAAATGATTAAAATTCTAACATATTATGATATTTCAATATTATTTAAATGTGAAATAATTGTATATGCTTCCTGGGGGCCCTTGATTGGTGAATAAACATAAACATATATAAAAATTTGAACGACAATTTTTTTATGTTGAACAGTCATGTGATTGTCTTGAATCAAAATGACTTTTTCAGTTATCCCCCACTTTTATGTCAGAGGTTTTTTTTATTATTATTATTATTATTTTCTTTTAGAGAATTCAGTAAAACTTACAAATGAGAGCTTCCTGTTGACACTTGTATTTTATCCTGTTAGGATTTTCATTTTTTTTTTCAAATAAAGGCTTAACCGGGATGTTTGCGTAGATGAAAGAATTGTAGGGTTTAAAGGAAGGCATCAACTCAAGCAGTACATCTCAAATAAGAAAGCACACAGATGGGGGATCAAACTTTGGGTGCTATCAGACTCCACTTCTGGATACACTCATCACCTAAACATTTACAAAGGCAGGAGAAATGAGCGACGTAGTCCGAACGGACAAGTAAGTGCTTTTGACAGAATAATAATAGTTGTAACTGTTACGAAAGTATTTGACACGATATTTCATTTATATTTCTAATGCAGTGATCCTACAAGTATTACCGGCTGTTTGTTTGTTGAGTCGCGTGCTGATCTTGTGCGGGTGGTCCTGCTTTTCTGTAATTTTTTTCAAAACCCAAGCAGCATGCTTTTCCGTGAGTACTTTAGTAGGCTTGTCTGCGAGAACTTGAAAGTGCTTTTCCGCCAATCGATTTACATAGGCTTATGAAGATTTGAAATTTTCCTCGATTAAAAAATAACGACAGGTAGAAATACTCTGTTCCGCGTCTTTTTTATTCTTTGTATATTTTGCTATACTGGGATTTTATTTCGAGGAATCAAACAAACAGCAGCAAATTTTTATTTGTCAATTTGTTCAATACTTGGAATACATTAGGATTAAAAAATTAACTCAAAGAATTTTTAGGCAGACCGCATTTTTACAAGTTAGAGAGTATATTAATTACATTCAGACACGTAGCATTTTTTTTTTACCAAAAAGGGTGAGTGCAGCCAGCCAGAGAACCATTTACAAGCAAAAGGAAGGTGTCTTGAAGAATTTACACCCCCCCCCCCCAAAAAAAAAAAGAACACTAAGTGAAAATCACCCAAACTCTTATATGTTGTAGGGCTATCAGGCAGTAATAGACTTGATGGAACATTTCTATAAAGAGCATCATGTCACTTTCGACAGTTTTTTCACCAGCCCCAAACTGGTATATGATCTCTTGGACAAGCAAACTCACAGCACAGGAATAGTGATCAAATCTCGAAAGGATATGCCTTCCAGTTTTAAGAACGCAATAATGCAGAAAGGAGATGTTAAGGTTAAAACACGTGCTGGAGTAATGGCTGTTCAGTGGGCAGACAGGAGAGTTGTATCTTTGTTGACCACTACTGGTTCCGCGAGGTAACTAAATCTAATGTATCTGATGAGACTGTAGCTCTGTTGGTTGTATTGAAATTAAATACTGATGAAAATTTTCTCCTAGGTTTGTAATAGTTTTTACATTACTTTTACCTCTTAAAATTCAGAATCTTTATATATATTCAAATGTTATTGAAATCAAACGAAAACTATGGCTAGTTGCATTTTGAAAGAATTTTACACCTTGTTATGTTTATCATGTAATCGCTTCTCATCAAAAATTGACACATGTAATTCACTTGTTTATAAAAGTAGTTACATGTAGTACACTTTTATTCTAAGTTTATTAATATATTTAAAAAGATGTCAAAACTGAAGGAGGAGTAAAATTTAAAAGTGTTACATATTTATAGGCAGATACAAACAACAAATGGAAAGGGTCTTGAAGTTTCTATCCCTGCCATTATAGACACCTACAATCTTACGATGGGAGGGGTCGATCTCGGAGATCAACTAATTCTCCAATTTGAGCCACAGTTCAAGAGTTTAAAGATGTGGAGAAAACTCCTATTTCACTCTCTTGTAACCGCAGCAGGTATATGTTTTGACTTGCACTTCCATGCATACAAAACATATTTTATTAAAGCTGTTCAGAATGTAAATTGTTGTAGAATATTTTTATGATGTCGAAATTATTTTATCTTAAATATCCTTGTAGTAAATGCCTATATTTGCTATCGAGATTCCTTCATTGTACAACACAAAATGGACCATCTGAAGTTTCACCAGCAGCTTTGCCAAGAACTTATTGGGGGTTTTCGACAGAGTAGCAGGAACAGACAGCTGCGTATAATACCAGTCCAGCACAGAACCTTGGCAAGATTGTCTGAGAGGCACTTTCCGTCCAAAATACCAGATGGTAAGCGTACGAGATGTGCTGTTTGTGCGGGAAATGGAGACGGATTCAGGAAAACAAGAATTCAGTGGTGGTGTGAGGACTACAGGGTCGGACTCTGCGTAGAAGGATGCTTTAGGAAATTTCACACGAGGATCAAGTTTGAGGAGTAATTGGAACACAGATATAACAAACTATTACTCTACTCAAAATAAAACTGCCTTGTGTTTAATCTAAGTGTGGTGTGTGTGTGCGAGAGAGAGCGAAAATTATTTATTACCTATATTTATATTCTTATTACGGATGAAATAAACCTACTTATAGCAGGGCTGGCGTCTGTCATAAAGCTGTCCTAACTGAAATGTTACTTAAATGAATGAAATTTGGAGCTACATTTTCTTATGTTCTTCAAAAATAGACAGTATTATAGCAATTCACCTGAACACATTGAGTAAATTTGCTGACTGTGGCTAAATCAAATATATTAGTTAAGTTAATTATTAAACAATCTCTGTCAATCAGAAGTTAACCATTTATTTAGTTTACAGAGAGGATATCTGTTATGTTCGGTAAATATCAGTTCGTCATATTTTATAAATGTTTTTTTTACAACTTAAACACTAGATATATTGTAATCGTTTATCTTTAAAAATCAATCAAATGATCAATTAATTACTTAATTCAAATTTATTACAAATATGTGTAATATACATTTATAGCATTTATCAGAATATCAATATATTATTTGAAAAATATTAAAACAGTTTCTAAAGACTTTCATTGTGTATGCTAGCTACAGGAATACATGGGCGGACCCGGGGGATGGCAGCTTAGCCCCCCCCTTTTCAAAGATAGCCATAATATAGGCATTGAACATTGGGGCGTGGATTTAGCCCCCCCCCCCCCCCCCACACACACACATTTAACAGGAACGTTTCAGTGTAGTAAAAGATCGAAGGCTAAGTGGTACTGTTTGAAAAAAAAAAATTGGTACTGAAGTTCGATCCTAATCACCCCCCCCCCCCCTTAATAGGATTTTTGGGTTTGAACAATGGACAATTTTCCAATTTATTTATTTTCTTTATTTATTTATTTATTTATTTTTTTTTTTTTTTCCTGGTCAAGTTTATTTTCAGATTTAAAATTTCTTTCTCTTTCAATTAGCCCCTCCCCCCCCCCCTTTCAATTTGCTTCCGACGCCAAATATTTGATAAATTTACTTTACGCCGATTAAAAAATTATTAGAATGAATATAACATAACTATATAATATGCATTTTTGCATTTTCCACGAAAACTATGAACATCCTATTACCTTGGTTATACAGGTGCTCGTTTCATGATCAATTTGACGTTTTGTTTTTTTTTTTTCTGAAGCAATTACTTTACGTCTAGATTGACGTCATAGTATGGCATTCATGACGTTACAGACGTAACCGTATTCGGCGTCGAAAACCACGGCCATAATGTGCAATCCTCTCCCATTCTGGCCGTGGTTGAATGAGAAGAGAATATTTCGTAGCTCATTAAAATATTGACCAATGCGAGTAAAGCATAGTCGGATAATGAACTTTGACGCGACCTTTCAATACCCAATAGAAGTATACGAAATATTTCTTGTGTACTGTTGATGCCGATTGTTGATTTCAATTGCGATGGAAACAATATTGCCATTGGCTGAACATGACGTCACAATACACAGGCGTAAATATTCAAGATCACGACACTATGTGATCAAGCAGCCAAGGGTAGGAGAGAGCTATATGCGGACTCCGGACCGTGGCTTGAGACGAAGTCTACTTCAGGCTCGAAGGAGGCAGAAACCATGAAATCGGAAACTTTTTTTCCATATAGATATATACCGTCACGGTAGCTCAGTCGGTAGAGCGATCGCTCCGTGATCGGGAGGTCGTGAGTTCGAATCTCGGCCGCGACTGACCTGAGTCGATAAAAAATGGGTAGCAACTGTTCCTTCGCCATGCGCTCAGCACTTTGAAGTGAAAGTTGCGTGTCCTTCGGATGAGACCTTAAAAACCGAGGTCCCGTGACACGGCAGGTTTTGGCACGATAAAGATCCCTCACTGCTCAATGGCCCTGAGTGCCGTATAAAGGTCAAAATTTGAAGCCCTTCACCGGTATATGGTGGTCTCCATATGAGTGAAAAATTCTCGAATTGGATGTAAAACAACATACAATTATATTGATTCAATCAATCAATCCATCCATTTAAACATTGATGTTTTTAATTAAAATTTATCCAAATTCACCAAAACTGGTCCAGCCATTAGCCATTATGTCACAGGACAGAAGATTTTGGATAAAATCACTCAGATATAATTGCCTTAGTAACTCGGGTGATCTAGTAAAGAAAAAATACTAGTATCTTGAATTTTTTTTTTAAATATTTACATTTATATGTATCTTAATGTTTTCAAAACTTGTACAAAGCTCTATGGTTATCAAATCAAAACTGTATGTTTTTGTAGTACTACAAAATGAAAAAGTTACAGAACTTTGTTATGGAGGAGAATATTTTCACAAAAGTTGCTTCCACACAAATTAAAGGTGAAGCATAGTCTACACTTAAATTTCACATTCATAGTACACTTTGTACATTTTTTTTCATTAACAGTGGTGTAAATTATGCATGGCTTTTAACTAGAGCAAAGTCAAAATCAGAAATGATGCATTTTAGTTCTAAAAAACTTATATGTCTGTGGAATTTATATCATAATGATTTAAAAACCTCATGAAAACAAAAACTTTCATACAACAATCAAAATAAAATGAACAATTACGTCTACACAGTGAGTATACATGCATTAATAAGCACTTTAAAAAGATTTTTTGATCACTTGTAACTTCAGTAAAAGATAGATTAAGAATATTTTAGAACTTTTCATCATCATGATCCTACTAAATCTCATTTAAGCATCTAAATGTTGTCCTTATTCATAATACATAACAGACACATGTACATGTCTTGAATACACTTACAGATGTTCAATGTAGACCAAACAGTGAAAATTTAGATCCTTAAAACATCATGTCAATAATTATGATAACAATGTGGACATATATAATCAACATTTGCTGCCTTCTTACATCCACATCCACATTCTGATTCTCAAATATCATACAAAACAGAAAATAGCATGTCCTTGACACCCTCTACTTTCACTTTCTACCCTTCCTGTTGAGTCCTTGACACCCTCTACTTTCATTTCTATCCTTCCTGTTGAACAAAAGGATTGGCAATGGCCTCCATTCCATCTGCAGGACAGATGAGTACAACTGAGGTCCCTCTACAAACCACTAATCCTAGAGATCTCGTGTCATCTGTAAGCTTGTATGGATCATCCGGATCTGAAAATGGAAAGATACATTTTTGATATCATGAGACTTGCAACATTATATAAATAGTGCACGTTTTTGAGGGTAACAGTTGAAATTGACACCCCAAGGAAAACCATTGTCAACCGACGCGTCAGCGGAGGTTGACAATGGTTTTCCGAGGGGTGTCAATTTCAACTGTTACCCTCAAAAACGTGCACTATTTATTTTATTATACTGAATGTCTTATTGATTTCGGGTGTCGTAAGAAAAAATTCGGAGATAGTCGTTAAGTTCACGCTTAGAAAGCTTTCAAACTCCCCGCTTCTATTTTTCTCAATAAGAAAGCTTCGGAAAAGATTTACCAACCTCTTTATTGTTTGTTTGCTACTCAAAAAGTCCTTTATTATCTAAAGTTTGCACTCGCAAGGATGTTTCGTCTGTCGTTTGTTATTTTCAAGTAAGCTACATCGGACGTAAGCTTTTATTGACGTCGTTTATTCGACTTCTTTCAAACGCACAACCGACGTTTTGAGAATTCTACGGTGAACCGTACGCGCATGATTTGAACGCATGTGATATTTTCGTAATGTTACCCGTTGTCAAGTGTGTTGCTAACGCTGAGGGTAACATTACGGATTGTTAAATGCGTCTAAACCAATCAGATTTTAGTATTTAACATGAAAGTATAATAATAAGAAATAAAACATGGATAACTGACATATTGAGTGCATATTGACCTAAAACGGGGACAAAGGGACAGTCTCCCATGAAAATTTGTTCCACTCAATTTTTTTTACTGCAAGAGTGTAAATTAAAAATTAAAGCCCCAAAAAGTTAATGGTGTTGCAAGGGAGTAGGATTAAAAAACAAGTTTTCTCATCTTCCTCTCTGCATAATCTTACTAGCACTAGGCTATGCTATATGTAGCTTTATATGTCAACTTTCATGATGAGTTTAAAAAGAAAATTGAATTGAATGGTAAACTATCTTGTATTTCTTACCTATACATTAATTTTTCAGTCTTTTGATGCTTAATTTCCTTACATTTTACCTTCTTATGCATCTAAAACCATTACTTTGTCTCTTTCATTCTACTTTCTTTTTCTAGATGATTTTATTTTCTTTAAATATGAGCTGTATTGACCTAAATGTATTTTGGTTTCAAATATTTATATTGTACTAAAATTAAAATTTAATGTTGAATGGCAGATTGTATTTACATGTTCTTGCCCGTACACTGAAATGTAATGAAAGTAACTCATTCCTGCAAAAATTGAAAATACAAACATAAATTTACCACAAGCACCTACTCAGCTTAGCTTTACTTACTATGAACAAGAAATAATTATTGTATTTCAGGATTATTTTAACCCAATGTCACTGGAAAACAAACTCTTTTTGTGTGCAAGAAATATCTGCAAGTTTCCCGATCTTCTTTTTCCTAATGTCTAAATGAATATTTCTCAACACAAACTATTTATTTTACTGTGTATTTATGTAGAATATTTCAAAATTAGTCTTGACTGATTTCAAATTGACTAATAGTGAATATGAGTTGTCACAAATAATAGTTGGTTTACAGTACTTTTACCCTATCTTTCATGCAAACAATTTGGTCATTGCTTAAGCCCTGACTCAGTTGTGTTAAAAGAAAGATAACTCTTTCTCGCATAATCACCGGTGTGAGATTGACTTGTCCGGTGTGAGACAGCAGTGTGAGATTTTTCTGTCTTACACTGTGTATTACTACGCCGCGAACGATAACGTAAACATTCCGTCTTTATGTAAAGAAATTGTAACAATGTTAAAAAATATTACATATACTTAAAATGTTGTCATTTGACTTATTAAGATAAACTTATTTTCATTCAAAATATTGTCGTATTTTCACTTTTTAAATGGCACTATTTTTAGATCGCGGAAGGGTCTTCTTGAATGAATGTGTACGCTTTCGGATAGATAAGTTTTTTTATTCCCAGTTTTTATCTATCTAATTAATTTACATGGACTGAAATTCATTTTATCAGTTTACACTGCGTGTAAACCATTTTCAGGTACGCTCTCTCTGATGGTGTATTTAGATTTTTAATTAGATGGAAAATTAAAAGAATATATTTTTAGCCCTATCATAGCGACGTCATTGACAGGCCGTTATTTTGGATAAAATAATGCGAGAAAAATAATCATTCATTACATACTCGTGTGGGAATAGTGAAATTCCACCTCGGGGCCAAGATTCACGGTCTAGGACTCGGCAAAGCCTCGTCCTAGACCGTGAATCTTGTCCCCTTGGTGGAATTTCACTATCCCACACTCGTTGTAATGAATGATTCTATTAGTCTCTGTTTCACCTGCTAACAGTGAGAAGGGGGGGGGGGGGCTTAAAATATGTAGGCAAAATATTTTTTAGTTTTGTTTTACATTTTTTTTTAAAATACACTGTAGGCATTTTGTCACAACAAATTGGATATACACATACTGCTGAATTAACATATCTTTGATTTGGTATTTCTTCAGTGTTAATGCTCAGTTTAAAAATGCATAGATCCTTAAAAAGTACTTGTCTCAAATAAGATATCTAACTTTTCTCCTTGTTCAAGCTGAATTGTACACATTTTGGTCTCTAATTTTATGACACACTAAATACTAAGCAGGGTTGGGGTCAATTACTTTGAAATGTAATTAAATACTTTCAAATACATTGATAATTTTGTCAATTACTTGCAATTACAATTACATTGATTTTAACAAATGTAATTAATTACTCTCAATTACTTTGAAGAATGTAATTAAATACATATCAATTACTTTAGGTTTATTTCCAAAAATTTTGAAGAACAAATACATGAATATTTTGAAGCAGCAATATTATTAAATTTGACCTTACTTATTGCCCTGGTCACGTTTATGCTGTACGTATAAACATTATAAGGCATTTAGTTATTGAATAAACACAAACTCATGCCAACCAGTACTGGTATGCATCATGATAAAACATATTTTTAATATGTAACTTGAAAAATAAAGTATTTGAACTGTAATTGAAATGTAATAGAAAAATACATGACATTTTTTACATGACATATTTAAATACATTCAATTACTTGTAATTGAAAACAAACTCAATCACAAATACTTTCAATTACTTTGAAAAAATGTATTTAAATACAGTATATTAAAATTACTTATTTCAATTACCCCAACCCTGATACTAAGGAAAACAACAGCTGACGGATTACCTCTGAGGTATTCTGTTGTGTCGTCCAGTACCAGGTTTAACAGGGGGTCGTAACCCTTCAACACACCTGCAGCTGTAGAAGAAAAAAATCAGTTTAACAAGAGCATCCATTCATAAAGTTTAAAAGGAAAATAAGATTTTGAGATTCAACAAAATTTTCATTTGTTGAGGTTTAAATATGAAAATTATATGGGCATATGAGGCTCGACATTAACATTTGTCTGCTTGTCCTGTACTGGTGAAAAAATTTCATGGACAATTGAACATTGCTGGGCACTTCTCCGATTTAACAAGTGATTTTTCTGTGTAGATTTTTTTTCCTGAAGATGAAAAATAACATGTTCAACTTTTTATTAGAAGTTCATGCAGTTGTGTAAACAGTTAAGTGTGATCCTGATCATAAAAATGAAAGAATGAGTGCACTTTAGTACGTCATTTGGAACCTTTTCGGCTACCCATTTTAAGCTTTACATTACAATATATCACTTAATTAATCTATGATTATTGTGCAAGCATATTCTTTTGATATTTATTCCTTGAATTTTTTTGTCATACATATTTCTATAATTACAGACAATGTCATTGAAAAGAACATATACAAACCTTAAATTCCGGAAATTTGAACGGGACCACTTACGAATTTAAGGTATCCGCAAATAGGCGGAGTCATTTAAATCGCATGGATGTGGAATGTAAACATTAGCACATATATGAATTTTTTTCGCACTGCGAATTTAAATGGAGAAGAGAGAGATTGTGTAGTTTTATGGTGCACAAATAATAAATGATTCTAGTGTTTATGGATTGGGAAGATGTCTCGCCCTGCAGACCATTATACAGAGGCGACATGAGCCTGTACATGTACTTACTTATCACACTGTCAATACCAGAATTCTTTCAAAACACCCGTAATGAAAAATACAAAGTAAAATAAGAGACATATAATCTTCAAACCCTATTAAAATTTGCGCAAAAATCTTCCATAGTTTGAAGTTGGAAGTACGATAGATACTGTCACAATAGAAACTTTCAATAACAAACACAATGAAATGCTCAATGAAAGCCTTAGCGTATCGAACAGTGGAATGTCACGTGAGTAAAGTGATTATAATATCAATCGTTGACACTCAGTGAACTGTTAATTTAGTGGCTAATTCGACCGTAGTTTGGAGACTTTTTCAAAAAATTAGATATGAGCCGCAATTTGTCCAACATTGTCCTTTGGATATGTTGAAGTTTAAATCAAAATACACATTCTGTGCAAATGAGACCAATGGACAAGTTGCGGCTCGATGTAAACAATGTCGTTGAAAACTGGTATGCATATGAATAACAATAGAAATGTGACAAAACTGTTAGACCCCCGTCTCAAAAGCTAGTGTCGCTCGGCATTATTTAATACTTTCATGTAGTATAATATACCAAAACCTGCTCTTAAGACATTGTTTAATACCTATAAAACATAAAGTTTATGAACTTTGGAATTTTATTTTGCGCAAAACACCGGGACCCAGCTCTCATAGCTTAAGTGCACTCATCCTTTGATTTCGATCGTCAAACTCAATCAAGATTAAAGTTCACTGTGGAGGTTTACTTTCAATCTTGAACTTAGATCTAACCAAGTTTGCATTTTCAGTATCGGGTAAGAAAGCTGAAATAAACAAAGACAATGGTAATAAAAAGAGAAGAAAAAAGGCAAATTAACGTTTCATGTTGGACTTATTTCTTTCTGTTATTATTTTTATATCATCTTATTAATCAAACACATCCATTATCCTTGAAAGAACTCGAGCAGTTATATGTAAAGAGAACAAGAAGAAGGTAGGGGTGTAGAGCCCACAATACATGGGGTTTCATACCTTCTCGGCCACCACTGAATTTGACCCGAATAGTTTTGTCTAGATATTTTGCAAGATCCAAAATTGTCTCTTTCTTCTTCTTTTCTTTATCTTTATCCCCTGATTGCTGAAAAAGAAAGGAAAGACTGATTCTCAATTAAAGGAAATAACAGGGTTTGACATTAACTTTTATGAGTACTAGACCAGTCTGGCTACTTCCCATAATTTTTACTAGCCCTGACCATAAAATCACTAGCCCTGACCAAAATTGAAAATGTTCTTTATATAACTTGCTATTATAATGAAAAAAAGTTTTGAACCATACTACAGTGTATCTCTCGCACATTTTCAGGTATACATTTTGACAGACTGTTCCATAGGTAGCAGCGCAATGAGTCAATGAGAGAATATTATAAGCTTTAAAGAACATTAATTAAAGGAACTTAAATAAAATCATTACCATAAATATACATGTAAACAGATTAAAAACTATATTATTGGATGACTATTCATACCAAATGATACTGAATGAAGCTAGTTTCGATCACGACTTGTCTATTACAGACCGGCTCAAAAATAGCGGTTTTGTCATGCAGGGAAGTTTTCTTTTTCAGAGCAATGTCTGTGTTTGCAATCGGAAAATTAAGAAAATTTCTTTTAAAAGTTTTTAGAGCATTTATTTGAAAGACTGAGATGAGGGTTAACATTTATTTCATCCACACGACCATTCGATCTAGTTCACGAACATTTAACACAACCGGACCACACATTTACTAGACTGTGTCAGTCGGACGTGCCTTAGTGTCAAACCTTGAAGAATTATGCTTTTAAAACATTTCTCAAGATTAACAATGACACTGGTACTCTCTTTATTCAAGAGCAAATTCTATCTATATTATTCTCCTTGACCTTATTTAGAAAAGTTCTGATCTTTGGAAAATCTTCAGAATGAAGAAAGGATGTATTTATAAATCCGACAATAGTGCAATATGACAATAATTATGTGTACTGCTCACTAACAAGTCATTCTCAAGCATACATATCATATGGTAATAAATAGGCCTGAGTATCGCAAGCTACCTAACGATATGATACATATCACAATACCATCATGCGATATAACATGTATCATGATACAGCTGTCAACAATTGAATTAACCATTATCTTAATATATTATTCTTTGCTAACCTCCACAGTTATAGAAAATATAAAAAGAATATCTTGAGACCCTGACCAAAGTTAATAAAAGGTAGATTTATAATCTTGACATTGTATTCTTTCTTTGCTACTTTTTTTTCAGCCATTTTAAAAATTAAAATTTGTTACGTTGTATGTAGTAGTTTCAAACAAAACAAAGAAAAGTATCTTGTACTGTATCACGATACATACATGGCGATACAATACGCATATCGTGAGCGCTTGTGATCAATACAATCCATGTTTTGCTGTATCGTTACACCTCTGGTAATAAAGCAAAATAATATTTGAAATTTAGGACTGATTCCATGTTAAAACTTTGTAACCACTATATCTAGTAAATAAATGAAGAAGGATAAGAAATGAGGCAAAGTCCACGCACATAGGAAGCATTTTTTTCGGGGGAGAGGGGCACAATCTGACAAATTCTTTACAAGCAAAATTGCAGTCCTCCCATCAACCCCCTTACACACTTTCAGTCTTGTTTATCATTTAACCTGTGATACGAAATGAAAAATATGAAAGTAAGGACTCACTAACAGGTCCTGTACAATCAGTACATTTAGCTACGTAGCTAAAATTACCTACCGTAGCTTTATTTACCTACCTCAGGTAGCTTTATTTAGCTATTTCAAGGCAACTTTTCACAATTTTGCCTTTTATTTTAAAAAGACAAAAAATCGCAAATAAATGACTACCAATATTTATATTAGGGATTATCTAAAGAGTAATCCAAAGCAGAGATAGTTTTAACATTGCTACGTTTGAACACTTTTAAGGAAAAGATGTATTTCCATTGTTTGAGTAACTGTACACTACCTTGTGATGAGGCGTGGATAAGTATGATTGCTTCACATTGTGCTCATGTTAACCAGAACTGGTTTTCTTTGTTATTTCATTCAAGAAGTAACTGTTCAGTCACAAATTAACTGTTGTGTATAGCCCCAAAACTTTTAGAACTTTGATTGAAATTGCGCAGAAAAAGACACATCTCCAAGAGTGATTTTTTCATGAATTGTTTTCAGATGAGTTCAAAGTTGAAAATGATCACTGCATCAACAGTCTAGACGAACTCCAAAAACAGCGTTTCCGGAAGTAAGAAATTGAGACTGAAAAAGACTCCGAAAAAAGAGTCCGCGCATGCGCACACGCACAAAAAATGGCGATTTTTCGGCAAAAATGATGGGTCTACAAAAACTGTCTGTGCAAAGTTTTGGAAAGTATGGCAATTATGCCAGTACTCAGAAATGCTAAATAAAAGACTTTGGAAGAGATCGTATTTGTCAGAATTTTTATTTTATTTGCAAAAAAGGAGATATTTACTTTCAAAGTTGACGTTTGAAGTCAGGTCAATTACAGAGAAAACGATACGTTTGAGAAGTAAAAATGCATAATAAAAGGGATATATATGCAAAATGGGATAATATATATTGTAACTGTTAAAAACTTGACTGAATTTTACACATAAATTAGCATTCCGGTATTTTTATTTGTGTTAGACATCTGATTTGAACGCGTAAGTTCTTACCATCGTTATTTACCGATTTTTTATCACATACGAACAGATATTATTATGAAAACATTTTTAAAACTATTGGTTATCAATATGAAATCTTTAAAAACCACTCTTCTAGAAATTATAAGGTCACAACATGTCTTCTAAAAATGAACCTGTGAATATCTCTGCTCCGTGGTGAAAAATACGCATTTTCTAATTAAAATAAATACAAGTTGAGTGTCTTCAAAAACAAATAAAAGCACCTATATTGTAGGAACAACATAAAAATTAAATCAAGGAGACAATAAATCAAATAAGAAAATAATTCTTACCGGCAGTATTGAATTCAATGTCGTATATCCAATTTACTACTATGCAAGAGTTTGAAGCAATAAATAAGTCAATATCCACAAAATAATTTAATAAATATAATTATCCATTCAACAAAAAATTAAAATAAAGTCACAATGCACTAAATACAGCCATCATGCACCCGTATATTTGGAGAAAGCGAACGACAATCCATCGTTTGTTTACATCGGACGCCATTTTGCCGCAATGCATGATGGAGCCAAAGACTTCGTTTTCGGAGTTCACGCCGTTTTTAGAGTTCGTCTAGACTGATCAAAGTGCAATTTTCTGCACTTTCTGGAAAAATTCTAATTTAAGAAATAAGTTTGATTTAGTAGCTAAATAAAGCTACTTCAGGTAGGTAAATAAAGCTATGTAGGTAATTCAAGCTACGTAGCTAAATCTAGTGATTGTACCAGACTTGACTAATTGCACTGAATGGTACTTTAAGTTTTCAAAAAGCTGGAATGTGACACTTTCGAAAAAATGTTCAATTTGTTGAGCAAAAAATAGAGTGAAAATGAATACTTAACGTACCTGCATTTGCTTTGGGGCTTGTGACATGATGATTTCAGCGACTTTTTTGCTATTGAATTTTATGAAAAACGTCACGGTTAAACGTGCAACCAAACGCTCGCTCAAATCGGAAATAAACTAGAGACGATATTGTTGGAGTTTGTTTGATCAGACTTAAAGTTTCCGGAAAAAACTAACCATTTCAATGAAGATATGCATTGCTTGGTTTATTGATTTCTTTCTCGTATTTAAAAAAAGTTTCTACCAAAACCAACATCTGTTTTTCTATGACTTTGAAGCTTTTTGACAGCGGATAACGTCTTGCTTAAATAATATCTATTGATTCAAGAACACGGTGCTCTAGGCAGTCGGGGGTTCACAAATAAATATTACAACACAGATGTTCTCTCTCCTAGCTATCAATAATGCATAAAAGTTCGATTCTTGTCCAGGTACGAATATATAGCGCCTTGTTCCACGTTTTAATGATGATTTGTCATTATGGAGATTGTTAAGAATCAGTAAGTACATGTACATTTTATAAATTTTCATTTTTTTTTCACATTACCTTTAACTACATGTACTTGCATGTAGCGAACAATTTGTAAACAATTGTGTGGAACATAGATTTCTGCACGGGCTTTAATTTTTTTTCTGTATTATTTTAGATTATCAGTACTATTATTATTTTTTAAATTATTTTTATTTATTTACTTATTTATTTATTTTTTTATGTGACGGAAAGGGGTGCAGTAGAAAAACAATCAGCTAAATCAGCAAAAAATATATAGAAACATGTATCGGCTCAAAATGAGGAAACAAAACTACATGTATGTTGTTGTAGAATTAAGGAATGTATGAATTTGTCACAAATTTCATGATGAAATATGATAAGGCTTCCAGATTTTCAAGGAATATCAAAACCATTAAGAAGTTGAAGATCAAAACACATGTATGACTTCTAAACGTTTAAACAATCAGTGTGACCTCTGTATCATCAAAATATTATAATATATATTATATACTATATTATAGTAAAGTTCTGTTGACAAGGCCTGTCCATAATGAAGCAACCTCTGCCACAAATAGGATTTTATTTGACGCTCCTTCAATACAGCGTTAAGTTTTGGACATGAATGTTAATCCCTTTTGACCTTGACCTCGTTCCAGTGACCTTGAATGCGAGGATCCAGGATTTTTTTCGGGGGGGGGGGGGGGGGGAGAACCCCAGTCAAAAAAATTTCCAACCCAGAAATTTCTCGACAAGCAAAAAAAGAAAAATGTAAAACCCATTCCTAAACGTGATGGGGTCCACCTTTTCTACGGGGGAGGGGGGTCCAAAATCATTTTTTATTTGCTTCAGTGTACTTTTAATAACTCTGCAAATTCCGGGGGGGGGGGGGGGTCCGGACCTCCCAACCCCCAACCCTCCCTATCCCCTCTAAATCCACGCATGCTGTAATAGGATAGTCTTTCTTTTGATTACTTCAATTGTTATGAGCGAGTTTACAATTACTAAATAATGCCTCTTCACATGCCAAGAAATCCCGTCCATTTTTCCACAGCGATGGAGTCAATAAAAGTGTAATTGATGCAAATCACCCATATTCCCCTAACGCTGGCGAGACAATTAACGGCAGCAGATTTGAGGGGGTGGATCCTATGTTTTCCGTTTTCTTAGTCAAAGAAAAATAAACTTCTACCCCAGGAAGTAGCCTCCTATGCCCTGAAAAAAATAGTTCCTGTCAAAAACCTTTATTTATTTACAAAATATGTAAAATGCACTAGACACAGGTCCCAAAATTGTAAAAATAGACTGGAAGGAAATTAAAAAAAAAATTCAAAAGGAAAAAATAATAATTTTATATGTATGGAACTACAACTGAGTTCATTTTCATTGGTCAATTACCGGTATGATACCTTAATAAGGTGCGAGACTTCGATCACAACAACCAGGTTTGTCGTGCCCGATGTTAATTTATACTAGGAAAAAAATATTTTGATATATAAACACTGAAAAATTTGAAAGGCGTCTAATTTTTACTGAACAATTAATTAGTTCACTACAATTTATATCACTTTCTTTTTCTTCTTTTTTAACCGCATGTGACTTGCATGGAAAATCCCCCCCCCCTTAAAAAAAACAACAGGAAAAAAGGTGCAAAGGCTTCTAAATAATAAGTATTCTAGCTTTAATTTCAAACCAGTAAAACTTAAGATCCTTCCCTCAAAACTGCTGACATTAATTGCCTCGCACACATCTCCCTGGGGAAAAATCACAGATTAACGCTAATTCCGCTTTTATTGAGTTCGCTCTAAAACTAGAATGCGTACCTTTTCTTGGCATGACGGTACAACGCACGTTATGTTATGGATTTCACACAAGTTAATGGTAAATTCAAATTTAATTTTTTCTTACCTTGACATTGTTCCAATAACTTTCACTCAAGTTCAAGGCACATCCTTTTAATTGTCATAGAATACATTATTAAATCAAATAGGATGGAAGTTTTCCTTTCATTTACCTCAATTATCATGTGCGAGTTAAACTATGTAGAAGCACAAACAGACAGACAAACAAAGAGACGCCCATCCACCCCCAACGGCGTGAACCCTACCCACAGGCACCCGAAGCGTAGAACCACCCCCCCCCCTCCCCCAACTTACTAATACATGTAAAATATAAGGAGTGTTTATTTTCTCGAAAATGTGTGATTTCTCCGTCAATTCTATCTGTATGTCATTCTGTGCAATTGGTTTACAACTGTACTTTTGTTAAGGTTTAAAAATTGGCCATACACGGTACATGTATAATAAAATACATTTATTCCTATATTTTACATGTATTAGTTAGCTGGGGCGGGAGAGAGATCGAGATCGAGAGAGATTTAGATCCACGCTTCATGTGCCTGTGCCCCACCCATCCAAATGGTCTAAGAAGTATATGGAGCACTGCAAAGCATTAAAGATTAAAATTTTCTTTGAAGATATTAACATGTGCTAATAATAACATATGTTTAATATTTGTATATCTAGCAAAATAGTACAAGCTTTCAATTTCCTCTAAGGCCCCAAGCATCCAATCATCAACCCCCGCCGAGAGCCCCTGAATCTGAAACCGGTGAATTTTAATTTTGTAAACACGAGACGGGCGCTACAGCGCCGCAATCCACGTGTAATCTACGAACACAAAGAACACGTAGTTTGTGGATAAGGATACAGTTTCATTTTTAAAAGCCAAGTTTTTATAAAGAAATGTTTTGTGACATCCAATATGGCTAGATAATTCGTATTTACCTGCCGTTTGGTTTTATTAACATTTTCCCCCTATTTTTTGACACACCGGAGTTATTGTATCGGAACGTTTAAAACAGGAGGTTTTAATTCAGAAAATCTATTTCTCTGTTTGATGTGTCGAAAAATATGATGGATGTTGTGTATCGAAGTTAGTGTTTGCTGAACACATACTTTTGGAAGTCTATTATTAAACTTTATAGACGTTGGTGCTGCTTTAATTGTGTGCTAATAGGACAATATTTTGCTCAGAAAAGAGGAAAACTGAAACTACATTTCAAGTGACAATTTGGATTATGTACAAGCTTGGTATTTACATGTAATTTGTTAAGTGCCATCTTCGAAAGATTTTTTTTCTATTCAATGGCTTTTTATTCCCATGACAGACTTGCATGTTGAAGCATCAGTAATGTAAATCGTTACCAAAGTATGTATGAATGTCTTATGCAGCTGGATATTTTCTGTTTCAACTCATGCGCATTGACACCTGACATAAAAGACATACATGACCACCCCTCAAACGAGGGGTTTACCACCCTAAGCAGTATGGAATAACTTCCCCTTGTCCATCTTAAAGTGACGTCATAATCTCTGAGGTCTGATGATGTCGTCGAAATGTACAGACCTACCAGAAAAGGCCCCGGGCACCGGTCCTTGCTCCCGAAGACTCTGGGTATTCCTGGTCTTAGGGGCGGTAGACATTGTGTTAGGCCTTATCAGCGTTGGCCTTTATTTCAACATTCAGGCAATCACCACCTCTGACAGTTTGACGGAAGTGATACCCGGGTATATCGTTTGTCTTGTGGTGAGTATAGTGTACGTATACGTTTAAATCAAGAATTCAACCCGACACCTCTTATCAAGAGATCACAGTCTCTGTTATTTTAGAGTGTGTCATTTAATGTGCAGTTTTTGGCCTTGTGAAAATGATTTAAGTGTGAACAATCACCAATTAAAGACACTCAACAAAGGAAGAGATAATTGTGAGAATTGCTGATTTATTGAATCCCATGAGTGGAAATGATCATATTTAGAAACGGGAGATTAAAACAAGGAAGGTTTATATATGTACGTACCGAACTGTATTCAGATTTGCTAGATATGGTAGCTTATACAGCCAACATCCGACCGTGGATCCACGTACGTTATATTTGTCCACTCTTCGAAAGTGCTAGGGTAATGGTTGTTACGACCTTGCTATATTATAAGTAAACCCATTAATAAACCTATAGGACAAGCCAGGCAATGAAACATTAGCATGGAACTGTTATCAAACTCCTATCAGATGTTTCTTCTAGAAATTGAGGTGAAAACAGATGTAGTTAATGCTCGTTTGACACTACACCCCGACCTAATCGCTGCCTTGATCTGTACAGATCTAAGCGTCTTTACAAATAAGTGTGGAAGTGCTATGGGGGCTGAATATAATTATAAAGTGTTTGTCAGTATTAATACAGTAACTAAAATATTTCATGCTCCAAAAACACACAGACTTTATTGTACCTAATCCGTGACAGGCTTCACATAGAGTTTAGATGTATATAGTGTGTGTGCATTGATAGCCATATGTCTGTGTGTGTTGTTGTGGTAATTGTGCATATTATATGTATGTTGATCGATTGCCAACCATATTGTTCAAAATTAATGTTTTTTTCTGTGATAAAATTATATCCAAAGGAATGTACAGGCTTAAATATACTGTAACATTTTTAATTTTAGTGGCAAAAGTTGACAGCCCTTGCATTTAAGCTAATACAGTGTATAAAAATTGTGTTATATGGAGAGCTTTTTATGCTCCGAAAGTCACACGGGCTAGGTCCCGTATTGCAAGCTATCCGAAATTCTAAAAATGGTGCCTTAGATATGACATTTGGTAGAAAAGGTCCCAAGATTTGTAATGTTTGAGTTAAATAGTAACAGACGGCCTTAGCACTGTGGTCAACACCAAGGTGATCAAAATCCCATTGTCCGTCAAGAGTACATTTGTTACTCTGTCAAATGTCCCCGGACCTCGCCCAGTCAACGGGCACCTTGCCGTTAAATTTCGGACAAAATAACCCCCGTTTTCAACAATGTTCAACGTGTGTTGGAATGTGTCCTCCATTGTTCATGACCCCCCTACGGAGATTTAGCTCTTTAATTAGACCCCCATTTATGTATTCAAAATCCACCATTGTCATCCCCTAGCAAAACCACCTGTCGTATTTTCCACGGTTCGGCGCGGGTCAAAGAGGACGACATAAAGGCGAAAGAATTCACCGTCTTTTTATATCTTTTGATTTTGAAAGTGCAAGAAAGAGATCTGTATCACAAAGAAAAGGGTAGACCTCGAATGCATCCTTTGTATCGGTGTGTAATTAAGGTCCCAACAAGCGACGAGGGATGCAAGAGAGCGTTTTGTGTAAAGAAATGATGGGGACAAATTTGTTATCCATGGGATGAAACAGGCAAACAGTATTAATTTGGGAACCAGATCTCAATTGTTGCTACATGAATATGATTATGATTTCAGAGAGAGTTAATCGCAAGATCTTATGTTTAATTTTAACAAATATAACATGCCAAGGTGAAGTAAAGATATAGATCATTATGTAAAGACTTTTTACTTAAATATGCTTTGATTTCATTTCATTTCCATGTACCTAATTTTTTTCCATCAATGGCCACTAGGATTATTTAAGAGTTCTCTATGGCGAAACCTTTCCCATCAGACTACTTGTTTTTTGTTTTTTTTTTAAATTATTGGAAAAAATACTTTTTTACTTTTTAAATTAAAATTCAATAGGCTTCCTTGTGTTTCTAAATAAGCTATATGTGGATTTTAAACAAATTCCTATACATGACACTTCGATCCGCTCCTTTTCTACAATTTTGATCACACTTCATTATCCCTAACCACCATGAGAATGAGCGTGGATAACGTTGTTCCTCATTATATTGTCGTCTGTGAAGTTTTATGAGTGCCAGACTCATAATTTCAACAGCCACCGAAATTGCGTGTAAACGTTCTATCGACCTTTTTCTATAAAGACCGTGGGAAAATCTCCTGCACGCGCGGCGCTCTCAGTTTTTCACCGAGGTTAACTCGCAATTCTTGATGTAGGAAAATATTAGTTTCAGTGCTAATCATTTGTTTTCCATTAGCCCATTACCCCCCTTTTCCCTCGCAACATTACAATTAAGTATATCTCCCTTTATATGAGTTTTCCCATTTTTAAATTGAGTATGATAAAGTATTCACATTCTTTGCCAATTGCATGGTGTACCACAACTTGGATACATGTAAGATTTAACATTTTTATATGATTCGAAAATACCAAATACTATAGTAATATTTTATTCATAAGTACATGTATATATAGGTCAAGCATTCTTATTTTTAAAAAAAGAACAATATTTGATATCAGGGATAGAGTATCTGTGTAGTTAAACCTGTTAAAACTGTGTTACATGTAGGTGGTTGCCAACCCCCATTGTTTCAACAAAGCGTTAGTCCCAGTGTGGGCTGATGAAGTGGGAAGGAAAAAGTGACATGATAAATTCGACATCTGTTTTAAGTTTAATTTAATAAACAACCGTTCGATGGTCAGAGAGATAAAAATAAAAACACGTGGGAACTGACGGGGGCCAACAATGGGGGAAGAGGAAAAATAATGTATCATAGTAAAGTACATACTAGTTAAACTGATAAAGAGGGGAAGTTAACACTTGTGATAGACTTTAATATAATTGTTAGGAAAGAAGATTTACTATTATGTATTTAATGTGTGTAGCATTTGTATTAAAAAGGAAGATAACCCCGCTTTATCTTTTTTTTTTATCACGGCGGTGTATCTGGCTAGCTTTGTTGTTTTTGTAGGAAAAAAGTCATCATGCCAAATTAAAAGTGTTTATGCGATGGAATTTATGCAAATAACGCCACAGTTCAGTCAGACACCCGATACTTTATAAAATAAGTCAAGCGAGGCGACTGTCGTCTGTACACACTTCTGAAACGATTGACTGGCCAGACATCGGGTTCAACGCGTGGAGAGAGGGGATTTGAACAAATCTCTTTTTAAAACATATTCAGAATTCTTCATGCTTTATTGTCCGTAATGTTCATGTATCATTTATCAATTCGCTGATTTTATACAGACTTCACAAATTCTTTTTACAGAATGGTAGCTAAGCTGCACGATTTTTCAAATTATATGTGTGTCATTAAAATTCTACATGTTATTTCACTCATTCATGTTACACTTAAGGAAGCTCTGAACACTGCACACTAAAGAGTTCTAATTGTAGGGTAGTTTTATACAGTATGAGTGATCTGCCCTTGTAAGTAAGATAGAAAAAATGGTTATTTATAGTTAATTACACAATTTGTAATAGATTGAAATATTCGTAGCATTATATTAGACCAAGAAAAAGTAATTGAATTCATTATTTCCATTAATTTTCCCATTGTTGGTAGACAACAGTGATTTCTGTTCACGCATAGACCATTGTCTTTGAACATTTTTCTTGCAGAAATAAGGCAGGTACCCTATGTTGAAAATGAATTAAATAGTCGATCTCAATATGGACACCTTTATATGATATATTTTTCTCCAAGTCCAAAAAGCACTTTTTATTAGTGTTTAGAGCTTCCTTAAGATATAATGAAGAAAGACAACTCTGTAAGGAAAGTCTGGAGTCTGTATTGATCACATGACCAGAGGAATAAAAATACAGTATAACACGGATAAAGCGAAGACGCATATAATGATTCACACTTACATCGAAGAAATTTTTATTCCCTGCAGTTTTAAAACGTATTATAAACAGATGTAAGAATTTAATACATTTATAACGAACCAAAATACCTTGTCCCTTGTACTTCACTTCACATTTTCTCAAATGTACACACAGATTTCAAAATAATAATCACTAGTATGTTTTTTTTTCTTGCGGAAAACTAAATTTGGTTTAGCACGAACAATAAACAATCGAAAAGTGTACTTATTAATAAGTATTTTTATTTTTTGTGTAAAGTACAATTTTTTTGTAGTCAACCCACAGAAATGCAATTGGCAAGTAACATTCCTAAACCGTCTTCTCTAACCATACTTTACATAAGCAGGGATAGAGATTGAAGTTTACGAAAAGGTCTTGAATCCCCCTCCCTGATCTATAAAGGTATGATAATTATTTGTTTATTTATAATATGTAATATTTCTCTTTTTTGTAGGTCCTTCTAAAAGGGTCCATTGTGCTTGTTTTATTTTGGTTGCGGCCATCTTGTCTGGTAAGTGTTAGCATATAATATCATTGTTATCTGTATAATTTATAACAGTGATTTTTCCTATATTTTTCTTTATAACTGGTTGTTTAAGCTTTGGTGACTTAATTCTTATTTATGTCTCTATCTCCTGGGAAATATACCAGGACAAAAACGTAAGTAAAGAATATTTAAGTTACAAAAATATTTATGTATAATTTTGCTCGCTATTGCTTTATATTTCTTAGATATTTGTCTGTCTTGCGGTGGCTACAGGTTGTGGACTTCTTTGTGTTGTGTCGGCCATCTTGTGTGTGACGCATGTCCTTCAGCCAATCACAAACCTCGACTCATGTACCTATGTCAAGCAGGAATCAGTTTGCGAATGTAAATCGTCCTATCGGAGAGATGGCTTAACTGTAGAATTTCTCCCTGCAGGTTAGTCATAGGTGGATTCAATTACACTCAATTTTTCAGATTTTGGTGTCTCTTCCATTTTAAGTGAGAAATGTATGTATATAAATAATTAGATATGTGAAAAGTAAATGTTTAGTTTTTATTCTTTAAATTCAGATAAATTGATAGTCAGTTTATATAATTGGTTGAAACAGAGATGTCTTCTTCTTTTTAAAGAAAAAGATAAAATAAAGTTTGAAAGAAGCACTAGCTGTGAGGACATTGAATCTATACTTCCGGTCCTATTATATGCTGAGTGCGCCCTCTATTTGTGTATATTCATCGTGTGTACCATCGTCGCTGTCCTCTCATTCCTCATCATAAAGTTAGAGAAAAGAAATATTTTAAGGGTAAGATTCTCTCTCTCTCTCTCTCTCTCTCTCTCTCTGCAATTAAGTACATGCTTGATCTCATTCCATGATAGTAGCAATTCAAAGCACTGTTATTAGGAGTACCCCAAAAGTGCAATGCGAATTGCATTCTTTGTGATTTGAGATTTGTCCTGAGACTACCCAGTCTTCGCTAGGCAAGTGTTTCTGATTCGCTTACCTCCTCACAACCAAAAAGTTTGTGAAGAGGAACGGACACACTAACCTAGCGAAGTTAATCAAACCAAACGAAGTTCCCTCTGTTATAAAGACCTAATTTTCTGCCATACCATTGCTCATATAAATTTAATATATAGCTTACAACTGAATGCCTAGATCTTCCCTAATACGCTAATACCGAAACCTTGAAAATGTTAAAGAAATAAAAAAAAAAAAACAAAATTCATCTGAAACTTAAGTAGTCGTTTATGGTTTATCAGAACAAGAGAAAAAAAAATTGCATTCAGGTATCACTCAAAACTAGTATTAGTAACAAAAACAAACATTCAGTGTAATCAGACCTAAAATCGATTACATTTCTTTCAAAATGAAAACTGGAAGTTTAGTAGAGCTCCCAACCGGAAAAGGAAGATCGGTGTGAATTGGCACTGAGTATACTTCCGTGTATGTTGATACCGGGGCGAGAGCGCACCCTAACGAGGTCCCCAGAGTTTAACTGGGCGACCACCACCCCTGTTGTCATGTGGTACTCGCTGTTCTGCTGGCTGTCCGTGATGACGTTTCCTGTAACAGAATGATTTTGAAATTAAACGTACGGAATATTTGTGTCCCGGGTTATTAATTCATTCAGTTGAACATGTAATTTTTGTCTTTTTAGAAGCCCCCTATCTAATGATGTCATTTTTGATGACTTGGGAACCTATTCGACCTATTGACACATGATATTTATACATATAATGTATCAGTAGTATCAGTAGCATTGAATTTACAGAAATTACGTAGCCATTCTGAAACTGCCTTCAATTTTATCCCAGTGAACTACAAAATTCCCTTGTTTTTGTGAATGACTCACTGAATATTTTTTTAAGTGACGTCAGATTTGTCTAAGCCAATGAAAACACCCTGTAGCAATGTTGGATACGTTTACATGGCGGCGCCCATAATGAAACCATCTTCGCAATAAAGAAAATGAAATATATTCTGAAATCCCTACAAAGTTTAGCATTAAAAGACAGGATTTTTCATGCAAATTTTGTGCTACGCTGAATATACACTGAATAGTGTCACTCGTCTAGACAAGGAAATTCGAACCAAGGTTGATATGCGCTCGTGGTTATGGTACCTTACATCCAAATATAAGATAGACCGATCATTTTCATTGGACAAAAAATTCTGACGAAGCGAGACAGATCGTTATTCCACTGGTTTAGTGTGTGTCAATAATATGTTATTAGAGCGAGCGAATCCATGGGCTTGTGGAAAAGAATGAAAACAAAACCCTTGGCTTGCGAAGATGTGAATACATGTACGCAAAGTAACCTTTCTTAATTTACATATTAACTATAAGATAATCTGAACCCACCATTCAATTTGACGTTTTCTTCTGTTAAACTCTTTATAAATGCTTTATATGCACCAATTTATCCATTGAGATTTCTAATCTAGTTATCTTCTATGTATAATTCCGGCTATATATAAACTGAGATTTTGTTGAAATACATACCAAATGCTTTATTATACGATAGCTATATCTCTACCTGGCCCACATCTACAGATACAAGTCTCTATGCACATGTATTTAGTTTCACCATGTTGCTGACTATACATCTGGAATTCTCATCTTTCATAGAAAACCTGGTCTTCTTTCTAAGATCCTCTTTGATTTCCAATTATGGTTTGCGCTTTATATCTATTATAAACGCTTTGGTCCACCGTAATAGGAATTCTAGCTATTTAGAGGAATTTTTGTACATGCCTAAACTCTTGATCCACATAAAAAGCATTCTAGCTATTAACAGAAAATGTTTGTCATACCTAGTGCAACAGAGTTAACGGTGAGTTCCGAGAAAACATAAGAATTAGAATCCACGGTGATAGTCCAGGTAAACACGTAAGTCCCGGCATGAGGGGCTGTAAATACTCCCGATGTGTTGCTGTAACCGGAACCGACGTTAGTCCGGATGTTATCGAAAACGAAAGTAGTATCCGGATGAGGATACTGCAAGTTGTTGTTCATATAGGCGTAGAAAGCGTTACGAGTGGAGCCTTGACCTAATTAAATGAGAGACAAAGTATGCTAAGTATTTTAAGTGTTTTTAAGTATTTTAAAGTTGGTATATTAGAAACGATTTAATATTTACTAAAACATATCTAACAATAACAAGCAGATGACAAATTCCTTTTTGGGTGAATAAAATATCCAGTTAAAGAATATTAAAAAATAACGGTCAGTTTTTAAAAGATTTCTTTGGCTTTAAAGCCAATTATACTTTTACATGACCGGAAAAAGAACTTCAGACTAAATTGAGAACAGAGGTGGTATTTTGAACAAAATGTTGTACGTATTTCACATTTACCGAAAGAAAAAACAAATTACTAAATGTACATAAGACAATTACGTTTTGTCAGTCCTACATGTTCGTGTATTTGCGAGTCACACTTGTCTGATAATGCATGGATTTCTTTTCGTCCTTGAATGGCGTCTGCCTCCAGCACTCTCACTCGATCTTCTAGCTTCTGAATTGTCATCAGCAATTGACCAATCAGATCTTCGCTTTGTTGAGATCCCACCTCATCCCTACCGCTTGCTGTTGCCAAGGAGATGAGAACACAAAGAAGCGCAGCTGCAATATCGCGAGGTCCCATGTCCAAAAAATGGCTGAATGCAATGAAACGGCCTTATCTGAGATCACTAACCTAGTCCTGTCTGCAGAATGTCTGTGTCACACATAGCTTATATAGACCAAAGTGCCCGTGGTTCGTTTGGAGAGATAAGAATAAGTCCAAACTGCAGTACTTAATACACTATGGATCATAAGCCGGAATCGCCATCGACGGTATCACGACTGTTATTGTTGTTTTGTGTTGTTAAAACGTCGTGCATTGTACTGGGTAAAGGGTTCTTTCGTGCACAGTACTTGAAATGGACGGGTTATACACTTCACTTATACACTGTGTTTATTTGTACTAACTCGACTCGGTCACCATTTGATCTGCATATGACGTCACCGACTGTTTAGCTGATTTCAGTACAGCATGGGCTATATCTCTGGTGCTTATCAACCTACATTTTCATATGCCCGATTTCCCCCTTCACCTTTCTGCAAGTTTTATGGCAGGTGTATTAGTTATTGGAAATTTGCATTCAAGTAAATTTTGAAAAATGTTCCTAAAAGTATTTTGAAAGAAATCCAAGATTCCATCATCATGTAGTGCGCTTTTCTCTCACAACATACTAGTAATATCTAACATGTAGAGAAACATTGTGAAATAATATAAAAGAATTAAAGAGACAATATTAATTTTGACTGTTTATCTCTCAAAATGGATAATATCTGTATTACAGTGAACGTGAAAACTAAGTGTTAATCCCACATACATGACAATTACAATATCATGAAGGTTTTAAATGTGTGTGCTTTGTGTCGTATGAAATACTTTTTTAATCTTTAATTTGTTTTTTGATATTTTTTAGAATGAAACGTATGAAGAGATTTTTACCGTAAGCGGGGGATCTTCCTGCAGTGAAAGTGACGGCGAACCGGAAGCAGACTCCACTCCCACATCTGAAGGAAATACCGGACCGGGAAGACCGGAAGTACCCAGTCAGCTAGACGGCAGGAACACCTGCCCACCCGGGATCCTAAAAAATCAGGATAAACATGAAATTCTTGTAGAAAAATCTCTCTCGCGTTCAAAATCATGCGATTCTATTGATCTAATTTACGATGCCTCCGAAAGCGACAAGGTAAAAAAGGGCCGTCTTAAAGAACATAGAAGAAGGGAGAGGCGCGCTGTCACTCTCAACAACCTCGACTCGAAACAGTTACTGTTGATTTTAGATCTGCAGAGAAGATATCAGGAAGAAACTCGCTTGTTGAAATCTCAGGGAAATCTGAATATTACTCCGCCCGGTGCGACACCTAGTGCGGACATCACTATCCAAAGAAGGGCAATAACTCCTCAACCGTATAGAAAACCTAATCCCAACACTCTGCCACGTTCACATACACCACAACCTGGTCCCGTTAGTGGCTGTAATATCAGAATGGGTGAATTAGCTCGCGATCTACAGAATTGTCTTAGAGAGAGAGAATCTGCTACGCAGATTCAAGAACCACAAAGAAAAACTGACGGATCTGACGACAAGAAACTGATGCCTCAGAACGACGGTTATGTTCATATGGCTCCAAGACCAAAGTCCCGTCCATCTGTACAAAAATACTTTCTTCCACCACACCCAGTACAGAGGTGCAGATCCACATCTCCGTTCACCAACCCGCGCCATAGAAGGACTTCTCCTTCTGAACAACTGCCGTCTCAACCGAAATCGCGAACGCTTGATCCGACGACACTGTTACCACCCGCACCCATACAACGAAACGGATCCGCATTCCAATTAGTAGGACATCCTGTTGGACCAATGTATAATAAAGGATCTGTTTCTCACGATGTTGTGTTCCGAACACCTGGAGAGGTTTTCTGCGAAAATGCAATCCGGGACAATTTCAAACTGTATTCAAGTCCTTTTCTCTTAAAAAATACGAAGCAGGGGCGTGTTGACTCTGTGTCTGGTTCAAACATAACACCGCCTTATTCAGGTCCACCGTCGTACACGGACTTTCTTTCTAGAACGGATTCTGCCCAGGAATCCGGATCAGAGCATATATATGAGACGTACGAAAACATCTCAGAAACAAAATCACCTTCGAAAAAGGTCTCATCTCCGAAAAGGAGTCCCAAGAAAATGAGTGACATTGTTCAAACTACAGAGAGTGAGGACGACGTGTTTCTCCCTGTTAAGGCCTCGCCATGTGGTGCAAATTCCTCACCCTTACAGCCTTATATCCCCGCGTATAACGACTCCAGTCGTAGACGAAAACCAAAGAAACGAAGTGGGCGACAGAAACAGGCAGCCAATGATATCGCTGATTTCATTAGTCACGTGAGTCCTTCTAAGACCACAACAAAGTCAAGTGATTTCATTCAGCATCAGAGCCCTCCACAAAATGACAATGTATATGCAATAAGTGCCAAAGCAAGAACTAAATCAGCAAACATTGACACTGAATGCGAAAGCGAAAGCCGAAGTTCTGGAAAATTGAACACAAACAATTTTCCACAAATGCGTTCTAATTCAGCCAGTGCATCGGAAGAAAAAGTAGATGAAAAACAATCGTCAAAGAACGAGACAAGTTCGACGAAGCCAGGGAGATTTCTCTCTGGATATGTTATTGGAGCAAGAGGTTATTCCAAACGTATGTCTGAGAGTTCCGGATGTACGTACGAGGATGTGGAAGAATCATCAATAGGAGTTTCAAGCCAAGCATCTCTAATCTCAAGTAGTGACGAGATAACGCGAGAATTCAATAGAGCAATAGATGAGATCCACCCAGGTCTGGGCGATCCAAGAGTTCTGGAGACTATGATTTGACGCATGTGCATTGTTAAGTTCCTCTCTAGACATTTATTGATTAAAAGATTTCATGTAAATTTCTGCAAATTAATATGAAATAACGTGTAATGAAAGGGTGGGGGTCAAGGAATAACAAGCACACAAGTGAGATTGTGAATTTGTGTTCTGTTTACAAAACACTGTTTATTATATACTTTGTATGTGAATGTGTTCAGTCAGATTTTATGACATTATTTTCTGTTTTACCTTTATAGATTTACTTTTGTAATGTAGTTATGTCGTATTTGCGGCTGACATAGAAATAAATTTAAATTATATGTTTCAGTTTTCAAATCTATCTACAGTATAAAAGATATCAACAGATTCAATGTCGAAATTTCTAGTTGAAGAACATGTTCAAACATGCGCGGATGTAGACCCCCCCCCCCCTCCGAATTTGCAGAGGTATTAAATGTATATACTAAACCAACTAAAAGTGACCTTGGACCACCCGCTAGAAAACGCGAACCCCTGTTAAGTTGATCGGAAAAGTCGTACATCATATGGAGCTCAAGAAGTGAAGTGGAGCGGCAACAACCCCGCCAACCCACCCACCCCCCACCCCCATTCACGAAATAGGTTTTTCACATTTAGGAAAGATGTTTACTTTTTTATACGGCCGTTTTAAGGTATTCAATGTATAATGAAGGGATATCGAACTCGTCTAGACAAAGAAATTCGAACCAAGGTTGATGTGCGCAAAAAAAAAAAGATAATTTTATCCAATCTGATTAAAATCAGATCCTTTGATCCGCTCACATGAATCGCTACACAACCAGTTGAGAAATTTATGATGTATTATTTGTTATAATTAAGGACATACGCAACATAGTTTTGAACTTTATTTTCATATTCCCTGAATAATTTAATAGATACAATAACTGAGTGACCTTTGTGCAATTTTATGATGTCCCGTAATGCACTACACCTTTCCCGATTCAAATTTTGGAGAAATACCCGCTGAAACTTTTCCCCCTTAATTTTTCTTTTAAAAATGCAATGATTTTCATCATTTGATGTCTGTTCAAAAATCCTGGAAATGTCTGCTGATTTTTTGTCTTAGAACATGTGATGGAATTATGATTTTAAACTAAAATATCAAGGAAAATTATCAGTGGGAAAGGTACATTAATTGTAAAGTACATGTCCATATACATTGCGTATATCCTTAATACCTACACCACAGGAGAAGTATGTACAACAAACATTAAAGGGAATGGAAAAATCATTGAAATCTTTCTATCAAGGTTAACATGATTTTCTTGCACTCTAAACTGTTTATGATAATTGAACAATATTTGATGGGTGTGTCGTGCTGTGGCGGGGCAGTTTATTCCCTTGCTTGTCAAGAAATTTCTTGGTTGGACTTTTTTGGACCCCCCCCCCTTAGAAAAAAATTCCTGGATCCGCGCCTATTCAAATGAGGAATAATATATGCAACAGTAACACTGGTTGTGACTAGATGTATTTGGGGTGAAAATGACAAAGAATGTACACAATATACATGTAAACAAAGATTGGCGGATCGAGGCAATACTGCCCCGTGTAAACAAACCATAAAGGTCCCTTATAAACGTTGATCTAGAGTCGTTTTGAGTTTACCTATAGAATTGAACAGCGGATAAGAATGGGTCAGTATATTGAGAGATCTCTTCATATGTAACAGCTTTCATTTTTCTTCAAATACAGATCAATCAGTTATTGTTGCATGTGTTCCATTTTTGGAGGGGAGTACTTTTTTTCATAAATGGGGATTGGAAGAGATGGGGGAGGGTGGAGTCATCATTTTTTTGATCTAAAAAAAATCCTGTCATCCCCTAAAAGTTGCGAAAATCTATATCCTTCCTTTATATGTACGAAAAAATGATGTTATCATAACTCAGTTGTTAAAATTTATTCGGTGGGGGGGGGGGGGGGGGGGGAGTTCATTGTCTGAAGTATCTCTGTCGCACATTGAATGTTTCGTGAATTTCTTTCAATGTTAAAAGATTGCATGGATTTTTATTATCTCTTCTAAGGCCATGTGTCTGTAATTCATTAATGGAAATAACTAGACTGGAACGAGAAAATTGATTCTTTATTCATATACAGGTTCTTACCTTGTTAAATCAGTCAGATGTAAACGCCAAAAACATTATCATTAACCTCTCACAAAATAGTTACAAAAATTCCTGAATCTCAATTCAGCTGTTTTAGACAAGCGTAATAATCCGTCCTGATAAAATTGCTCTTTGAGATATGAGCGAGTTATTGCCCTTACAATATTAGACTTTTTCTTTCGAAATAAAAAAAAAACATTTATTTGGTTAAATTGAGGAGAAATCATAGTGACGTGTCATGCAGATTTTTCTATGAAGGGCTCGAGTCTTTACAAAAAATGGCTTTGCTATAAGTTCATTACATGTACAATATAATTGTACATCGAGATTTATTTTCATATTCCATGCATGCTTGGCACTAGGACTGTCGGAATGTTTCGTGTCGTGGAAATTGAGCAACTAAATTTACCGGAAGTGGGTGACAGACTATTAGTACTAGTTTAGCAGGAAAGGAGAAAATAAATGGCTGGACCGGGAATCGAGCCCGGAACCTCTGCATCACAAGTCAGGTACTCTATCAACTGAACTTCTCAGACACATATCCAAGGCCCAAACCATTACACTAGTATTCATCAATCAAACGTTTTTAGGAAAGAGGAAACATGACAAATTAAACTGAAAAAAAAAACTGTTAAAAATGTTGGAATTGTTTCCATACATGTATATAGAGAAGTGTTTGGGGTTTGTTTTGATTTGATTTTGCTATAGAACTGGGAGGTGGGGGGGATAGCGTTCTTTGTGTACTATATATAAAGAATATGATCATTGTACGGGTGTGGTAGACTGGTCATTTCACCATATATGTACACATTGAATGCATATAGGGAGGAAAAAAAACTTTGTTCGAATGAATTTTTTTTACAATACAAATGAAATGTGGGAAATTGCAAAAATTCTTGATATAGTGACGATGTTTTAATGTGGTAAAAATAAAAACAAAAAGAGGAAGTATCCCAAACACTCACAAAAAACTGAATAAAGAAGAAGAAATAACAAAAGTGAATTGGAGAAATACAGTGGAGAATGTTCAAATATCTCAGTACTCTGGGACATGTTAACCAACAGTTTTTACCAGCTCTCTATTAGATCAATAAAACAGAGGGATTTTTCCAACCGTTCACTAGGAATACACAAAGGCTTTAAAAGCTCTGAGTTAAATGTTTAGAGATAGATATTCCATATTGATCGTGCTGATTGTCTTTTTACAAAGATTTTGTTTAAAGCCGTAAACAATTAATTAAGACAGGGGCCAACGGCAGGGTTTCTGTCATTAAAATTAAATTAATTATCGGTCAGTAAATACAAATACATATATACCTAAGAAAAAATCAATAAAACGTTTTCTTTGGGTATTAGGATACATGAATTATTTATTTAAAGTATAAATGTAAGATAAATTAAGTATAAAATACTTAATTAAATAAAACAGTATAACGTTGTATGATAGATTGTCCTTATTTACAAAGTGCCCCATGTTCATTTGTTTATAGTGGTGATAGGTTATGTTTGGAGAAAGAAGGGTTCGAGCTTGCAATTTTCACTGAAAAAAGGTTCCTATATTTATTGAATAGACGAAAGATATTGCATGGATCGTGGTAAAGGGAAGGAGGCAATTAAAAGTTTCAAAAAAAAGAACCGGTTGTATCAGCATGAATAAGGGATCTGTGACTTCGTTGAACGGAGAAAAGGAGCCGGAAATTGACGTAATCACTTGTCCACTATGTTTACGTCACTTTACTTCTCCGAAACAGCTGGACTGCCTCCATAACTTCTGCGAGGGATGTTTAACAGCTTACATCACCTCCAGCTCTGAAGAATGTGTACAGGAGGGAAAATTCACCTGCCCGGTTTGTCATATCCCAACCATTGTGCCTGCTCCAAATTCCAGCCATGACTCATGGGCAGGGCAGCTCCCCAACAATAGCTTGATTACGTCCCTTGCGGAGGGAATCCCTTTGAACAACGACACGCAGATCTGCACACCCTGTAAACGAGAGGGAAAGTCAACTGTTGCAAGGCATTGGTGCAGGGACTGTTTTGAACCTTTATGCGACTTCTGTAAGGGAATTCATCGAAAGATTAAGCAAATTAATGGCCATCGAATCATCCCGCTTGAAGAAGTCCGGAACAAGCCTGGCAACCAGAGATTTGAATCAAACACAGACCAAACGTGTACCGTGCATAAAGGTAAGAATGTCGAGTTGTTCTGTCCGGTGCATCGAAAGCTCTGCTGTGTTGTGTGCTTTGCAGCGACTCATCGAGAATGCCCAGGAATCAAAACGATTGACGAGTTATCAGGCGACATCAAGAGCACGGGAGAACTGACTGAAGTTGTAGACGCCATGACAGAAATCATTCAGAGAGCAGACGAACAGATTGCCGAAAAAACACAGACAGCAACAATACTGAACTTCAAATACACGGAACTGACAGAAAAGATAGAGTTATTGACCAAAAAGGCAATCGAAAGACTCGAGGTTCTTCGAGACGAGTCATTAAAAAGGTTCGAAAAGTTTCATTCAAAAGAGTCGAAAAAGATCGAGAATCAAAAGGATGTTCTTCAGAGCTGGAAACTTGCAATGGATCTTGATATGAAATATCTCGAAGCAGTTGCTAAACACGGAAACTCCTCGTTACTATTCATAACATCTGAACGTTTACGTCATCAAATAGGATTTCATCGAGAAATTATGGAAGTAGACAGGGAGAAAGCTGAAGATTTAGATTACAAATTTGAATTTAATGAACAGTTTTTAATAACAGCCGAGAAAATGACATCTCTTGGGAAACTAAAGCTCCTCCGTGCGCAATTTAAGGTTGACAACCATGACAACAAAGAGACTTCACCGGAGCAGCCCGCTCATATCGGAAACATTACGTCACGAGGAGCCGGAACTTACACAGGCATGTCTGGTAAGGTTTCTAACATAGTCAACAATAATCCGGATCCGGTCAGCCTGAAAATGATCAAGGAGAAAGATTATGATGGCTCTATGCCTAATGAAAGGAGGATAGTTTGGTTTACGGGAGGAATGTTCATGTCTGATGGTCTTTATTTTCTCATGGCTGATTACAATAATCACAAACTCAAAAAGTTTAAGAAAGATGTCTATCATCCAGTAATGGAGTTTCCGCTGGAGTCAGCTCCTTGTGACGTCACACCAGCGGGTGATGATGAGATCATAGTAACCCTCCCACACGTTTGTAAGATTGCTCGTTATCGTATTCGAAACGATTCACTGAAATTTCTGGGAGCTGTAACAACATTCTCTGCCCCGGAAGGTGTGGCGTGCATGGCGGACAAGACAGTGGTGTCTTTCGGGGATTGTATCAAAGTTTTTGACGAGGACGGAGGTGAAGTTATTTCAATTCCAACTGAAGAAAGTTTTACTTATACCGCTCCTGTAGTAGTGTCACGTGACAACAAAAGATTTTACCATCGTGATGGCGACGCAATTGTTTGTAGGTCGACCGAGGGAGAAGAATTATTCAGGTAACGTTTATAAAGCTCTATGTCTCCCCTACGAAGGTTTCACTATTCTAATATAGAAAAAAATCCACCTTTTTTGCAAAATAAAGTAAAAATATATTTTTCAGGATATTATTACATAATAACCTCGACCGGATTAGTCAATATGCTTTGAAAATCAGAAAAGTACATTATAGTGGAACGAGTTCAGAATTATATATATATATATATATATATATATATATATATATATATATATATATATATATATATATATATATATATATATATATATATTTTTTTTTTTTTTTTTTTTTTTTAAGTAGAATGGTACCAGTAGGCATTAATTTTAATACTTCATTTGTAAATACAGTGGATTTGAGAATCTAAGTTTTTTCATGTTGATAAAAATTGGGAATATGATTTCATCTATTTAATAGATATCAGGATCGAGCGCTGAGAGAACCGGCAGGTATTGCTTTAGATTTTGAGGAGAACATTTACATCTGTGACTGCAAATCGAACACGATCTTCCAGGTGACGTCAGACGGTACTCGTGGGCGGATCATTCGTTCTTCCCGAGTGTGTGTTGGCAGTCCTATTGGAATAGGGTTCGATAGAACCGGAAGTAGATTGTGGCTAACATCGAATATACGAAGATCCGGACAACTCCTCACCATGTTCTATTTAGTGAATTGATCACTGTGGGTGGATCTAGTATTTATTCTATTTAGTTAATTGATCACAGAGAGTGGATCTAGTATTTTACTAACTGGTCTCTTTAAAAAGAAATTTTATTTATTTATGTTTCATACACAATTCACTGATTTGGGAGTGATAATAGTGTTATTGTCTTTCTATACTCACTACTGTGGTTCACTATGCAACAGTAAGATTTTTTTTAGAATTAACTCTTTTTTTATTTTTTTAAAAGGAGGTGAAAGATTTTGCAAGATAGATTTGCACACGATAAAAATCGATCAGTTGTTTTTCAATGATCAGTGATTTTTAGTGTAATAAATATTTAGAAACATATAACTATGTGTCATCTTTCCACTTTCTTCCTTTTAACGCAACAAATTATCCCCAACTCCCAGAAAAGTCTTAAATCTTATTTCAAAGGAATAAAGTTTAGTCTCGCAGTTTTCACAAGTTGTCGAATATACATTTATCTTCATTATCCGGTGGTTAGAAGAATCAAAGAAAATAATCGTCTAGTACTTTATTTTCACTCATTCCTGTTCAGCAAACACTTTATTTACTTTTGTCTGCGAACTCCTACTTACTAACAAACTCTGCTATTATATTTAACATATTTACATTCAAAGCCATTTAACTCGAATATGAACTAAAGATATTCAAACCATTTTATTGAATAAATTATGCCCATGCCAATTATGTAACAAAGGTGAAAAGACTGTTCATTATAATGACAGTTAATCAACTGAGTATATCAATGACAAGGAATCGTGTTATCAGGAGCTTAGAGACGACAGGCTAGATTTGCATGTTCTAGATTTTGTTTTTTCATGCTTCAGTGAACACAAATAAATGAGCAATCTCCTGATTCAGAATCTATTTTTAAAAATGCTAGATTCCCGTCACGATATATTCAGGTAGTGCGTGATTAGAAATGTAAACATTTTGACAAATAAGTTTAAAAAAATCTGGTACTTAGAAAACTTGGATGTTTGACTTTGCTCGAGCTTTACAGAACACGATTGATTTAAAAAAAAAACGAACTGACCAAATGTCAGTCCTGTCCTATATTGGAGAAGATGTTTTAAGGATAAGCAAATGTTGAAACAGGAAGTTAAGACAAGGGAACGGCGGTAAGTGAAAATTACAACTGCAAGAATATTGTTATTTACATGTAATTATTTCCGCAGACAAGACTGTATTTATCTTATGAGTTTTATGTACAAATTTCGATTGATAATTGCAATTTTATATCCACGTACTGCTTCTTCCTTTAATAGAAATAGGAATGTCAATTTCACTATGATAGACGAGTCGAATAATCGGGGGCTTTAGTCGAGTACTCATTAAAATTATTTTTCTCGTGTCAGTTTAAGGGCCTTCTATACATTACACACTAAAGAATTCTATTTCCGTGGTATTTTATACTGTTTGAGTGATCGATCTACCCTTAGTTCTAAAATTAAATAAATTGAAATCTTTACAGCATATTACTCTATTTGTAATCAATTCAGGTAATTTAAATATTTTTAAGGCCATGGCTAATTACGTGTAACTTAAAAAAAGCAGCAATGATTTTTATTCATCAGTGGTAAAATTAATGTTTGTTGTCATGAAACTTTTTCCCTGGGGGTAAATGGTGAGTTTCCTGTGTTGAAAATGAAACAGATAGACTCGGTATTTCCATTATATGATTTCATTTTCTAATGAATGTCCAAAAACATTTTTCATGAGGTATAGAGGGGCCATAACTTAATTCATGCCCTTTTCAGACTGCTTGTGCATGTACACTCGATATAAGCTACTGTCACATACATCGTACATGCATTTCTCCATACAATGATTTATTTAATACAATTAAATGTCCATACTATACATGTGCCTGAATTAAAAGTCGTCTTAACACAATATTAAATAGTATGACTTGTTATTTTTTTCTCTCCAGACGCGAATAATGACTAATTAGTTTATCACTTGACGGCATTTAAACCTGTCTACTTTTAACTAAAGTACTGACCCGTGATTTGTGTAGAGTTAAACTAAACTTATGATTATCAAAACATGAAAAAGCTTGCTATAAATAATAATTTTGCAATATTTTTTTTGCAAACAACAAATCCAATCATGAAGTTAATTTATACTAAACCTTAAAAAATATCAAAGTTCGTAACATCTTTCTCCCCAGTTTAATGTATATGTATGTTATCATTCTTGTTTTAAAAAAATGAATGAATGAAAAATATAATTTAATTCACTTGAGAGAAGGGCTTATGTTTTAACACTAAAAGACCAGTTGAATAAAAAAAAAACCTCTCAATTTATTATATTGAATTGAGAATTGCTATTAAACCGAGTAAAAATATATTTATTCGCGATAGTTAGATGTGAAAGAACAATGATCGAGTGCTGGAACACTCGTTGACATCCTTACCCAATAGTAATTATGCAAAGTATACATGTATAATATTACACCAAATTACATAGAAATGCAGTCAAGTCTGCTTTCAATGAAAGATTTTACTGCCATTATTTTTTATACGATAATTTCGATACGCAATTGTGTATTGTATCTATTGTTAATCAAGTATTTCTCGACGACTGCATGTAAAACTTGTTTCATATCAAGAAACGCTAAATACTAATCTTTTCATGTATTCCATTATCAGGCCCGGAGGAAGCAATTTCAGTGGAGGGGGGTACAACCATACATTTTCAATTTTCAGTTGGGGGGGGGCACTATCAATTTCCAAAAATTCCTTGACAAGCAATGAAAAAGGGGGTCATCAGGCGTTTTTATTGAGGGAGCACAAGCATATAGTAGCGATATTTTCTATAGTTATCTATATATCGGCAAAATTATTGGGGCACGGCCCCCGTGCCCCCCGAATCCTACGGCCATGCATTATTGCAGTACAATCGGGATTTCAATATGAGTCAGGTATTGATATGGAACACGGCAATTTTTACATTGCAGATCATATGAACAGACACCTAATTAGCTGGTATGGCATGCGCAGAGTGTAGTTCCGGTGATGTTGCAGAATGGACGTGTTTGACATGCAATGTTAGTTTGCATGATAAATGTATACAGTGTCACAGAGGAGACACCGGAGATAAGACTCATACAATCATACCGGGATTTGATGCCTGTGAGGAAAATTCAATGCTGCATTTTTAGTGATGTTTTCAAAATTTTCATTTTGGAAGCTCTAGACCTTTACGAAAAACATCTTTTTTTTAAATTTGAGAACGTTATATTATGTACATATATAGTCTTAACATCGAGTACCTGCCATATTTTCCCAGGAAAAATGGTCAAAGGCCGTGAAGTATTTGTAAACAAATATCACCGTTGTTTACTTACATTAAATACTGCATTCATTACTGTATCTTGTTCTTATATAATGTTAAGAATACATTTATCTATTACGAACTGTCTCTCATTAACTGTAGATTCATGTTTTTCATATCTTAACATCTTAAGGACGGATCAATCTAATTGCAAACAACTATCCTACAATTAGAACTCTTTAGTGTGCGCTGTTTGGGGCTTCCTTAAAAAGATGACTGAACTAAATTCCCTGACACAGTCCCCATGAACTTGGATGTCAAATGCAAGCCACTGTAGACGACACATGAGACCATTAAATACTAGTAGATTACTAATTTAATATTCATATTTCATGCGATTTTAACGAAGTTGATGGTAATTTGATTAATTTATACATGATCTCGTTTCAGTGTTACATAGCCCTGTGGTTTCATCTACTGCATCCAAACCAAGAATCGACAAAATTGTAGTCAGGGGACCCGGTGTGGCTCCAGAGGGTGTTATAGGGGAATTTGACCCTACCTTTTATGTTAACACATACGGGGCTGGACAGGGAAGTCTAGGCGTAAGGATCAGGGGGCCAAAAGGTATAAAGGAAAAAGGGCAATATGATCCAGCTCTGTTGAGCTGTTTGCTCTGTCGTCCTCGAATTCCATCTCCATCGCGTTACATCCTTGAAACATAAGGGATTCTGAGTCATCGTAGCCGTTGGATCCCTGACAAACTTTATTCGATCTTTTACGCGCTGACTGCAGCGATGCCTCTCGGTGAAATTAAATCCTGATTGTTTTTCTTATCATTCCACCAATCACATTAAGCCTTTTGATGTCAAACAACGCGTAACACGTGCATTGAGGTGTCCACTGCTTAGTTCATTTCAACTTTTGGCAGCCCCAATTTGATTGGTGCTTCTCAATATGAGAAGCTGCCCAGAGAAAAATGCCAGGGGTTCCTTGGACACAAGTGCACTCAGGACCCTCGATGTTTTGAGAATGTTGCTCTGTCCCCTCAAAATCTCCCCTACATGTAAATCTCACCTAAATGCTGAGGGAGTGAATGGCCCCTTTAGATATTTAAGATTTTTTATATTCCTTTTATAATATGATATATCCCTTTTCAGCTGCCTTTAAAGTAAAAATGGAACCAGACAAAGAAAAAAGAACTACTATGATCTGTTCTTATGAAGCAGAGGAGGCAGGTGATTACGTCATTACTGTCACGTGGTCTGATATAGAAGTGAGTGGATCACCATTTACAGTTCATTTGGAAAACAAGGAAATGTGAACAGATTTACTCTCAGAGAACCACAGAAAGCAACAGGATTCATTGTATGAAAATACGTGTAAATGTAAAATCAGAAGACAACATGTATGGAAGACAACATAAATATATCTGTTTTATTGTCTCTGTTAAACCATTATAAAACGACAGACTTGTTGAATGTACATTAATAAGTCTGGTCTGTCTGTTCGATTGTATGTATAAATATATATGTGCAATGTAGTTTTTAAACTAATGTTCCTTGTTCATGTTGAGAAGTTACTACATGTAAGTTACTAACTATACACATGTATAGTATTTAAGATTTGCATTTATTTCATGTAGTATTTGTCAACAATTCCTTTTGGTATATCATCAAATTTCTTGTGATGTTATGATTTAAAGTCATGCTGCCATTTACACTTACATAAAGTTTGATGGTTAATTTAACTAACGTGTAAACAGACTGACTGGGACAAAAATGGACAGTCATTAGCCACATTGATTTACTCAGTGTTTTTTTTTTTTTACTTTTTTGTTCTGTTTGTTTGTTTGTTTTTAACAGTAAAATGTAGATCCTGAAAGTATTTTTTTGCTGTCAAAAACCCGCTATACACAAAAACAATTGTTGGGACATTCAGAAAAAATATATTTTATAACGGTGTACAAATAGATTGGGTTTATCTATATATGATTCTACTTAAAGGGCGGAGCTATATGCAAATAAAGTGTTCAATTATTTTATCTTGGCCAATTTATAAAAAAAATGTTAAGCATGTCTAAATTGATTATGAGTAGAAATTGGGTGTTAATTTACTAATGAGTAATGACAGATCACTCTAACTGCATAAACACACCACAGAATCAAACTCTATAGAGGGTTGAAAATTTACCCCATCCCCCCTTTACCCCGACACACGCTTGAGATTTTCCTATTTGACCTTTTTTTGGCTATAGTAATTTTTTTCTTCTCAAGTACATGTACGTTTATTTTTTCATGCCTAATTTTTACGTACGTCCGTCTGTCTGTCCGTCCGTCCGTCTGTAAACTTTTCACATTTTCAACTTCTTCTCAAGAACCACTGGGCCAATTTTAACCAAACTTGGTACAAAGTATCCTTGGGTGAAGGGGAGTTTAAATTGTTAAAATAAAGGGCCAAGTCCCCTTACAAGGGGAGATAATCAAGAAAAGACAAAAATAGGGTGGGGTCATTAAAAAATCTTCTTCTCAAGAACCACTGGGCCAAAAAAGCTGAAACTCGTGTGGAAGCATCCTGGGATAGTGTAGATTTTAAATTGTTAAAATCATGACCCCCAGGGGTAGGGCGGGGCCACAATAGGGAATCCAAGTTTTGCATTGAAATATGTAAGAAAAATCTTTAAAAATCTTCTTCTCAAGAACCACTAGGCCAGAAAAGCTGAAACTTATGTGGAAGCTTCCTGGGGTAGTGGAGATTCTAAATTGTTAAAATCATGACCCCCGGGGGTAGGCGGGGCCACAATAGGGAATCCAAGTTTAACATTGAAATATGTAAGAAAAATCTTTAAAAATCTTCTTCTCAAGAACAACTGGGCCAGAAAAACTGAAACTTATGTGGAAGCATCCTGGGATAATGTATATTTTAAATTGTTAAAATCATGACCCCCGGGGGGTAGGGCGGGGCCACAATAAGTATTACAAGGGGGAAATCTGGTAAAGAACAGCATGGCCAAAGTTACTCAGGTGAGCGATGTGGCCCATGGGCCTCTTGTTTAAAATTAAAATCTGCATATCAAAATTCAAATATTTTTTATTATTATTTTTTCTGAACCCCCTTGAAAAGTATTAACCGATGTTACGTGTTTTTGCTTATGGGCTAATTTATTTAATTGATAGAGATCTTGCATAGAGTTTAGTTGTGTTATATTTATAGGGTATGAGGGTAGAGTGGTAGCTATAGCGTATGAAGGTACAATGGTAGCTATAGCGTATGAGGGTTTAGTGGTAGCTATAGCGTATGACGGTACAGTGGTTGCTATAGTGTATGAAGGTACAGTGGTAGCTATAGAGTATGAGGGTACAGTGGTAGTTATAGAGTATGAGGGTACTGTGGTAGCTAAAGAGTATGAGGGTATAGTGGTAGCTATAGCGTAAGAGAGTACAATGGTAGCTATAGCGTATGAAGGTACAGTGGTAGCTATTGAGTATGATGGTACAGTAGTAGTTATAGAGTATGAGGGTACAGTGATAGCTATAGAGTATGAGGGTACAGTGGTAGCTAAAGAGTATTAGGGTACTGTGTTAGCTATAGAGTATGAGGGTTTAGTGGTAGCTATAGCGTATAAGGGTACAGTGGTAGCTATAGCGTATGAGGGTAAGGTGTTAGTTATAGCGTATGAGGGTACAGTTGTAGCTAAATAGCGTATGAGAATACAGTGATAGCTATAGAGTATGAAGGTACAGTGGTAGCTATAGCGTATGAGGGTACAGTGATAGCTATAGCGTATGAGGGTTCAGTGTTAGCTTTGAGAATGAGAGTACAGTGATAGCTAAAGAGTATGAGGGTACAGTGATTGCTATAAAGTTTGAGTGTACAGTGATAGCTATAGAGTATGATGGTACAGTGGTAGCTGTAGCGTATGAGGGAACAGTGATAGCTATAGAGTATGAGGTACAGTGATAGCTATAGAGTATGAGGTACAGTGATAGCTATAGCGTATGAGGGTACAGTATACACTTATCCACTGGTGGTGAGTGGGATAGCTCTTTTATCAAACCCGCGACAGGAACTATTCCCCGAGGGCTTGCCTGAGGGGAATAGTTCCTGTCAAGGGTTTGATGAAAGAGCTATACCACTCACCACCAGTGGATAAGTGTTTTATTATGCTGATGTGTATCATAATTTCTGAAGGTTGAATTACCTGATGCTACAATTTCATAGGCAAAACACGAAAACTTCAAAAGAATAGTTATAAAAGTTTTGAGCAAGTATTTGGAGTAAGATTATAACACTGCAAGAATGAGCCTGAAATCCTGATGACGTCACAATGCTACTGAAGTCATAATGACATCATCAGTCTATAGACGGATTACAGGAAATCAAAATTGGCGGCAAAAATTGCATGGACATTTTCTGAGGGGTGGATAGCACAAACTATACCCCGGGGTATAGCTTTGCTCTGCGTGGAAATTTTCAGACTATAAAAGATAGTTATTTTACCTTCTTAACTTTATATAGGAAACATTTAACAGAAGTATAATAATGATAGCTATAGAGTATGATGGTACAGTGATAGCTATAGAGTATGGGGGTACAGTGGTTGCTATATAGTGTATGAGAGTACAGTGATAGCTACAGTATATGAGGGTACATTAGTAGCTGTAGCGTATGAGAGTACAGTGATAGCTATAGAGTATGAGAGTACAGTGGTAACTATAGCGTATGAGGGTACAGAGATAGCTATAGAGTATGAGGGTACAGTGGTTGCTATAGAGCATGAGAGTACAGTGATAGATATAGCGTATGAGGGTACAGTGGTAGCTGCAGAAATTTGTAAAAAGAGATGTCCTTAACAATGTTAAGAAAAATCTAAAGACGCACAGCCATAAATTCTGAATGCGTGTAGCTTACTTTATGTGATATTAATGAAGTGAACTTGGTGCATTAGACATAATATACATATCAGTAACTCATACATTGACAGTAAATAAGGATGAATTGATACAAAGAAATATTCATTGCCATTTTTAGAGAAAGGAGGAAGTTTATCAACTGGCTCAAACAAACTTTTTTTTACAGCCTTAAAATTCAATCATGTCATCATGTCCCATGTTCGTCATATTTTATGGAAGATTTTGTTTAGTGGACGTATCTGTTCGTCAGCAGACAAAAGAGGGAACGAAGGACCCAACATGTAGACTAACTTAAACGACTACGCACACTAACTCTCGATTCCTGCATATATTTTACACCCATTTAATTCAATATAAATGGTAAATTAGCTATGAAAACTTTTGAAAAGCAAAGAAGGGTTTAAATTTTTAATTGATTAATAATTTTGTGTCAAAGTGTCAAATAGTTAATTTCTCTTAATTACAACTCTTTTTATAATGAGGTAGAAAAATGTTAACCCTTGAAATCGGGCTTCAGCACTTCGCCGAATTTTCAAATTTTCATGGAAAAGGATAGATGACCCTTAAATCTTTCCGTATCTTAATTAACTTATATTAAATTAAACATATAAGTTGTTTAAGTGTGTGGGTGTTTTAATTTGTAATCTCATTGAAATTGGTAATAAAATGACCCATTTTTTCTGTTTTTTGTCTGTTAACATACATGAAACAACAAATTTAAAAGCTTTGGTATGGATTTGTGAAATCACAATTCATATTACAAGTAAAAAGTTTTGTTTCACTAAGAGAGAGAGAGAGAGGGGGGTTAAAATATTTTCCATTTTCACATTCACTATTTTCACAAGATTTACCAAAATTATAGTCATCTCTCTTTCTCCCAAATAAGTTATGTTTTATGAAAATTAATTCACATAATTATTTAGTATATACATTGTAAATTGAAATAATCATTGAAAAATTAATATGTTAAAACTTTTGAAAATTGACTTGGAGGTAGGAGGCAGTATCGTCCACAGTTATTCTAATCTCCATTATATTTTACACGTAGAAGCTCAAATTCAATGGAACTTGCATAACAGATCCTAAAAACTTCTATTGATTTATATAAATCACGAGGAATAGTATTAAATCGCATCTTCGACCTCCTTAAAATCCGGCAAGCTCAGAAACTAGGTTGTACGAAAGGCCCGAGAAGTTTCGACTGGGATAGCAATTTGATCCGCCCATCGTAGTGGCTTATCATCTGATTAATAAGTGCACAAATCTATCGCATTCAGCTCCGTGTATTAACACAAACAGACCCCTGTCGTGTCTTTTGTTATCTATTTAAATGTCTTTTACAGAATTTAAGCAGTTTTCACGGTCTGTTGAACAATGTATATAAACTTTACCTACTTTAAATCCCCCCTTCGGCGGTCCTCTAATCTAAATATAGCACGTGTCAACGAGAGAAAATTACACCGCCTTTTACAAGCACACGTTGTGACATTGTCGATTTCGTAGTGTATGTAAGTTTTAGCAGGAAGTTACATTTTTAGAGGAAAATGTAACAAACGTGGAACTGTGGTAATTTCTCATGAGGTAAGTTTTAGTGACTTTTGAGCTCCACATGTCGATTTCTTTTGCCTAACCTAGTTGACATATCTACACTCGATCGGGTTTGGTTCTGTACATCGGAAGTACAGCAGTGAATCACCTGGGTTCGGTGCATGTGTATAATCAAAACTAGTGCATGTCACTTTAAAAATGTGGTTTTATACATGCATCTAAATACGGTGATGCATATTTTATATACGTACACTAACTGACTGAAGTACGTCAATTTTCAGTCATCATAATCAGCTGTTGTTTTCTTTTGTTTGTTGATACTTCTTTAAGTGACTGTTGTCATCCTTTAATATATATAAGCCACATGCACACAAACCTGCTATTATACCCCCCCCCCCTTCTGATTGTAAAAGATTTCACGTATTGATTGATATGAATACCTCAAATCCGTGTTGATGTTTTGACCACGATAGGAATACAAACACTTGCTGGCATTTAATCTTAGACATGTTAAGAGTGGCATGTTCTAAATCTTCATTGTTCTTCTAGAGAACGCATTAAGAAATAATAAATAAATGAGAATTAAAGGGAGTTGCCATGAAAACTTTAACATTATAAAATGTCAAACTTTTCATGCATGTCAACAATGTCAAACTTTCATTGCAACTCCCTTTCATTCTCAGTAGTATTCCTAAAATTAATACGTGTACTGATTATTTTAAACAATGTTTCGATTTTTTTTTTTTTTTTGGTATCATTGGTTCTAATACACTTTTATCACGGTGTCCTAATCAGCCCAGACCCCCCCCCCCCCAAAAGAAAGAAAGAAAGGTAGATTTTCTCTGTCATCACTCACACGGACCTACTTACATTCTACTGACCACTATATATATAAGTACAATAGTGATCACGTAAAATTAAACATAGTATGTTACCGGTCCATGTGGCCTCTTGCACAGGTAAATGATTACCTGATAAATTAGCTATAGCGTGTTTTCGTCGTTTCAGGTCAATCCGGTGCTTTCGCAGCCTTGTCTCGTTAATAATGTGTGTTACATAATTTTCAGAACAACAGACTATTTGTATAATAGTCAAGAAAGTTTAAAATTCTGAAACTTTGGCTAACATAATTAACATTTACCAGTCATTTCATTATGAGAACATGTTATGAGCAGAGAATAATTAACAACAACTGTACGTAATATCGTAAAACACTATAGATAACAGAATTTTTTACAAAGATTTTATAGTTATATGTATAAACTTTAAAATATTTTGTAATTTTCAAAAATCGACTATCTTTTTCCAAATTTGTTCAATTTGAATTTTTATATTACAGTATGCAAATTTAAATTTTACACATTCTTAATTTGGTAGAGGACACTCACGTACATGTACGGATGGGAAGCTAGTCGATATTAAGTGGACTTTTTCTATCAGGCAATAATATGTAAACCCCCCCCCCCCCCCACCACCACCACCGTACCACCACAAAAAAGAGAAAAATCGATAAATATTACACAAAAATACACGCACATGTATATCTCACGCTTGAAGTTACACATGTATATAGCCACAAGGAAAATACAGAAAAAAAGTAAAAATAGTAGATTATGCATATTGTGTCAATTTGAAGGTGAATTCCTCTGTAAATAAACTAATTCAACATCATACTGTGAAGCGATGTCAAAATGTTAAAACGTACAGTATATGGTACCGGTACCAGATAGAAGGGTTAATACTTCTGCAACAAATTAATGTCCATTGCATGGTCATATTTATGTACATAATTTTATTTATTAATATATGAATATTATCTATCTTCTCTCTTCTGTCTAAAGTAATCTTCTCTGATGTGCTACAACACAAGGACAAGGAAATATAAAACTTATCTGAAGTGTTGACGCAAGTTTCTATAATAAAAACCAGGAAAAAAGTGTACTCTAGGGGGAAAAAAAATAAGGGATATAATTCCCTGAGTCCAGTCGACTTGGACTTAACTACATGTATTCTAAACTTCTCATTCTTTATTAACTAAGTTGCGCTTTTTTGACAAAAGTTATTAACTTTGTTTAATTACTTGGAGAGAATAGACTGTGACTTGCCCCCCCCCTCCCCCCCCCCCCGCTAGCATCAGTGCATTACTAAGAAAAAATATTATTAAATAAATGTCCAAGATAGAAATAAAGCGGTTAGGAAAAAAACACATGAATCGCGTGAATGTTCCTGAGTTATATATTTTTGTGTGTTTCGTACTAGGTAGGAAGACTACTGCATTAATTAATTCCGTTTATTCATATATAACATTGATTTTGTATGCACATTTTGGTTTTCTGGAGTGATAACAATATAATGACGCATACCTTTCAAGCCCTCGGCAAAACACAGCGTAAAAAAGTACACACAGGTCAAAAGTTACGAAATCTTATTTTCATAGGGATATTTTTAAATTGAAGCACTAGAACCAAATCTACTTTTTGACATTTATAAGGGGCCGACATAAATTTGCATGAAAAAATATATATGAGTATGTAGCTAATTCCTCACTTTTGAAATATTTAAAGATGTACAATTTGAAAATATGTGACCTACTTTCTGTCAACCACATTTTTTTCTGACCGTAAGTAAATACATAAGAAATGCAGTTTTTTTTTTTTGTATTTTATGTTTTAATATCTGGTTTTGAAGTTCATACGAAAGTCAAATAGATGTTCATCAAAATTTCTCTTGTCCTAAATTTTACACTTCAAAAAAAATTAATTTTAATTACAAATTAATTCAGTCTGTTTCGTTGGTTGATTTACGACTTTGTTTATTAGTTCATCAAGGACGGTCTTCTGACGCCATTATACCACTCAATCTGTAACGGGAATAAAAGATTGTAAAATAAAACCCGCAACGAATTCTCTGACTGATCAAATTGAAACAAAGAATATGCATATAAGTTTTATTTGTTTATTTTTTATTTTTTTGTTTTTCTTTTGTTTTTAATCCAAAATGAAACAATATTACATATGAAGCGGTAAGGTAGTTCTAACTCACACAGGTAAGAATTCAAATAAAAACAACTTGATGCGTAATAAACTCCCCCCTTATTATTATTTTTTAACAAAAAGCACTTGGACACCTACATGTACTAACTAATGATTAAATGAATGTTTTCTGTTCATATGACAGTCATTAAAACTGTTACATCATCCTTCTTATATAGACTAAGTTTATTCATAAAAATAAAATTATATCTATAAGTAACGTTACTCTTGAAGAAATCTATGAAAGACTGTAAAATCGTGCATTGCTCATTGCATGCTTATTGAGTTCAGATCGAAACATATAATTTCCCGGTATTTTTTAACTCTGTTGCTCAAAACTCTGATAATCTAACCAAAAAATATTCTAGTTTTCAGGAAACTAAAAGAGGGAACCAACACGATAAACAACACATAGTCCGTATGTAAGACACTTAACACGAGAATAAGGAAATAAGATAAACATCCTGTTTTTGTTTTTTTATACATGTATTTTGCTTATGATAACCCAACCTGGGTACTTTTTACTTGAAATATATATATTAAGTGTACACGAGGGATTACCGCAATTAAAACTGTTACCTCTTCCTGGTAAGCTACTCTCTGGATTTATTTTTGTGGGGGAAATTCGGTCAGAATTTTGGTTCGTATTCGTGTTGAGAAACTTTGCATTGTTTTTTGTCTGTCCGATAAAAATGTAAGATATTTATCGTTTGTTTGTATGACTGGTAAGGATTGCGGACAGACCTAAGAAAAATAAAGGTCTTGTCTGTAATACTTTGACAATGACCGTTATGATTGACTGACGCGTTATCAGGTTATCAACTTATTTGTTTAATGAAGCATTGGCTTTTAAAACTAATAAATGATACAAATCAATTTGTTCTAAGTATTCATTTTAAAGCAAAGTAATTTAAAACCCATATTCTTGTTGATCTTTCAGGGACTACAGGTTCACAGTATGAAAGAGGCTGATAATTTTGAGAAATATGTGACCTGAGGAGAAGGTATAAGAAGATACCAACATGGCGTCAAAACATTCAGAATTTGCGCAAAATAAGGTTTATGTTGACCTGCTGTTTGATTCGATGAAGAGACTCTGGACAACTGGTGACCACTCTGACGTAACAATCGAAGTTGGTGAGAAAACGTTTAAATGTCACAAATGCATCCTAGCTTCGATGTCGCCATATTTTGACGCCATGTTTAGCTCGGGCATGCGCGAAAGCATAAGTGGTCAAGTAACATTTCCGGAAATGGATCCCGATCTCTTTGAAATCGTTTTAGGCTTTATGTATACAGGCAGAGCCGAGGAGGTAATGACGACAGAAAATGCAGTGGAACTGTTACACATTGCGGCAGTGTTACAAATCAAAGCTCTTCAGGGAATCATTGAAGAGTTCCTACATCCACACCTTACTAACGAAAATTGTCTCAAAGTTTGGCGGCTCTCCGTTCTTCACGACTGTCATACTCTGACGGAAAAATCCGTTCAGCTGATAGCTAGGAATTTCCAAGAAATTATTAAGACAGAGGAATTCTGGGACTTAGATGGGCGTGAAGTGGCATCCATCATCAAAGAAGACACGCTTGACATTGATCACGAGGACCAGTTGTGCGACCTCGTCATCAAGTGGATCGAAAGAGACGTAGAAAAACGGAAAGAAAGCTGCGGTATTCTGTTTGAACAGATTCGACTGGCTTTTCTCACGCCGGAGTATTTAGTGAATTTAGAAGAAAAACACGAATTTCTGAAAGAAAATCTAGCATGCATGAAATTTATTAATGATGCAAAGTCGTTCAAACTCTTACCCGCTCGCCAACAGGAGGCCCAAGGAAAGCAGACGTGTTTGCGATTGACTGCCAATCAGGAAGAAGTTCTCGTGTTACTTGGTGGATGTGAATCGACCACGCCTCCATATGTTCGTTCATTGACTGTGATATGCTACAGTTTTTACAGAAAAGAGTGGTTCAATATTGCGCCCCTTCCTTATGATCCAGGAATTGAATTCGCCTCGTGTACGTATCAAAACGACATATACATCAACGGGGGTGGATCAATGCAGAAGTGTTTATTGTGGTATGACAGCAGCAAGAATAAGTGGCTGCAAAATAATTGTATGGCATACGGACGACGCAGACATGCAATAGTCGCCGTCACAGGGGCGCTTTACGCTATCGGTGGCTATGATAACAAGCTGGATGACGGACACCGGATGTTGTCAAGCATTGAGCGCTATATCATCCAGGAGGACGACTGGGAACCGGCGGGAGATCTACCCATCGCCGTCAGTTCCTTCTCTGCAGCCGTAGTAGGCGAGTCTATTTACATATTCGGAGGGGAGAAAAACGACCGGAAGGACACAGCGTTCATTCAATGTTACGAAACTCGTACTCGACAGGCAACGAAAGTGGACGCAAAGATCCCCATGGCGTGTAAACTTACAAAATCTATCACTTGTGACAAACGCATTTTTCTCATTTTCTTCGATGGTCGGGTTGTTGAATTTGTTAAAGACAGAAAAGACACGACGAAAAAGCCATTCTGTCGGACGGTTGGTCGCCTCACGGCATTTCAACGCATTCATTTCGGTGTCATACAACATCGTGGTAACGTTATAGTCTTGGGTGGAGAGATTGATAACGCTACTCTCTGCAGTGACCTCATTATGTTTGACCCATCAACCACCGGATGTACGAAACTAAGGGACACACTTCCCAAACCGAGGCTCATTGATGGTTGCGTGAAAGTAGCCATTCAGAAGAAATACCTGCAAACGCTTAAAGAGGATTCCCCCAAATCGTCACGAAGATGACGTTAGCATAAACCCTTGTTGGAGAAAACGTAATGCACCTATTAAATCTAGTGATTTTTACTACACTTGCTTTAAATGAACTATACATTAATCAGTGTTTGTCAGTTCGGTGTGAGGCAAGTTTAAGCATACATATACTTGTATCATCGTCAAACTGAAAGTCCAGATTACCAGTAAAATTGTTAAGAATCAGAGTAGACACTGACTTCGGGAAAGAACAGTCAAAGTGACCATACCATCTCCACATTAGAGTACACAAGTTCTCCCTTTACCGTCACCTCGACCGTTCTTTCCTTGTACTCTCACTTGAATAACGTCACCTCGACTGTTCTCTTCTTGTACTCTCACTTGAATAACGTCACCTCGACTGTTCTTTCCTTGTACTCTCACTTGAATACTGTATAGGGGATTAATTTCACGGGTTGTAATTTTCACGGTTTTCTCTCCTCTGACACGATCGCGGTTTGTTGAATTCGCGGAATCGGTATTTAATAAAAATTACCTCCCTTGTCTATATCCGTTTAATCCAGAACGACATTAATCAGCGTTAAGTATTCACTTAAAAAACAACAGAGTAGGTTTATATAAAATAGTTAGATTTAATAATTAATTGACGACTAATTAAAACAAGTGCAGTTAATAAAAGTCCTTGACTATAAACGTCGAATGACTTTCTTATATACTATTACGATGAGTGCATGCACACCCGAAGATCTTCTTTCCGAAGGGCTAATACATCGCGGCGAAAAACCACTGGACGGTAAGAAATGTGTTAATGTAGGTCGAATAAATAATATCCTTCCACATCTTCAGCAAGTTCAAAAGTTATTTGAATGATTTTTTAAAAACAAAATGTCGATAAAAACTAATACGCATGATAATGCAGGTAACAAATACATGTGGTCACATAGTTATGCACGGGTAATCAAAACCATGACCCACGTGTTTTGATTGATGTAGCGTGGGCTATTAAAACAGCTTTCTAACAAATACAGGTTTATTATCTGCTGATCTAAATTAAAGTAAAGCGTGATAATTAAAATAATTGAATGACAAGTGCGACTCGTAATTACTGAAATGACCATGTAATATACGTATATACATGTATACCTATCGTAGTGTATTCTCAAATTTCCAAATATAACATTGAGGTTATTGAAAACTTATTCACTGTTTCTTGAATTCACGGATTTCTTAACACCGTGAATATAGCGAATATTAACACCGCGAGTTATTTTCCCCCTATACAGTAACGTCACCTCGACTGTTCTCTCCTTGTACTCTCACTTGAATAACGTCACCTCGACTGTTCTTTCCTTGTACTCTCACTTGAATAACGTCACCTCGACTGTTCTTTCCTTGTACTCTCACTTGAATAACGTCACCTCAACTGTTCTTTTTCTTTACGATAGAGTGGATTTGGAAAGGAATTTAGATTTTGATAAACAGAGAAGTGACTTAAGCCAAACTTATAAATCATAATAAACCGAAATGTTTGTGAAAGGGAAGATTTTTTTCCAAGATCCAAGCTTTCGCAAAATATGCAGGGTGTGCAGTATATGTCACTGCTTAACATTGCAGTTTCAGGTTATTGTAAGCACGATATCCAAGTTATTGATGAAAACGTTTTATATTAAACGTTTTGTGTTGATTTTGGATAAAGTGCGCCCCAGTGTGGAAATAGTGTGCCAGTATTTATTGTAAAATTAAAATGAGGCTGTGAAAAAAAAATGTATTTATTGTTTGATATAAACAAAAAAATATATTATATCATGTTATCCAGAATTGCATTTATTTATATTCATGTCTGTATCACAGAATTTTCATGATTAAAGAAGAAACAGTGTTTTTGTTTTCATGATTGTATATAATACAAGCATTTGTAAGTCTACAATGCACCATCAGGCGCGTAGCTGCCTATACGCAAATACGCATGTGCGTACACATCATTTTCAGAAAAAAAAGAAAAAAAAGATATGAAAAAAGAGAGAATTATTCGGAGAAAAAAAATCTCAGTACCATCCAACAAATATTCGTGTTTCAAATTATTCTGTGTCATACAGTGTCGATTTAAATTTTAAATTATTATGGCTGTATGATAAAATTTGAAATCTTTTATTTAATAACTAAATCCAAATAAATCATTCATTATTTTGTCATTGTTCTATCATACATTGATATTTTTTTTAAAGATCTTTGAAAAATTAAATTTCAGCCACATCGTTGAATGCCATGATCTACTAGTATGATTTACAATACGATATTTTTTGTTCACAATTAAAATTTCGTATACGTGTTTTTAAACGTTAAGAATGATTATATGATACCAATTAATATATCGGTTAAATTTTTAGCCTCAATTATATGTACAATAAGTTTCCATGGAATATTAATTTTCGGTAAAGCAATAAATATTACTATGTCTTTTATTTCCTAAACAAAAACTAAATGGCATCATTTTTATATTTCAAGAAAATGAATGAAATATTTGGTAAAACTCCGGAGCTTCCGGGTCCTCACCAGCAGGCACGTAGTATCAGGGGAGCTACTTATTCCCAAAACCCAACCTTTTTACTATTGAAAATGTACATTGAAAGGGTGGACCCCCACTGTTTGTTGCACCATTGTTAAATCATGGTAATTTGGTAATGTATTAATAAAAATTTGGTTTGTGAAAGATGGACATCCCCTCCCCCCCTTCAGCAAACACACATACACAAGAAATAGGACTTAGAATTTTGAAAATCTTCCTTTTTCGTCCTTGCTTGACAAAATTTTTAAAGTTGTTATTTTTTCCTGGCTGGCAAAAGCTATATTACGTGCCTGGCCAGAACCCTTAAACACTTGGGGGGGGGGGGGGAGGGCTCAAGACCGCCCCCACCCAATCCCTTGCCGTTCTCTGCGTACACATCATTTCTATTCTGGCTACGCGCCTGACCATCTCTGTAAACATTAATTTAGAGAGGGGTTTTTCCTGTTAGTTATTCGTTTCAATCTTTCTTTAAATCTTAAAAAATTATTCTAAGAGCATTATCATATTGAATAGACCTTACCAACTGAGTTATCCGATTTCAGTGAAATCAGGATTTAAATATAAATAAAATTTTCAGTGACCTGTTTACGTCATTTGTTTATGAAATTGAATACGACGAGGGTGGATCCAGTAACTTTTTCTTAACGGGGTGGGATGGGGGATTGCATGGGGAAGTCATACACACTCAAAAATAAAACCTCTTACTCAGATTTTTTTTTACAAACAAAAGTAAAAAATATATTAAAGAAACCCGCAATTTCGAGAGGGGGTCGGTCGACAATTTTCATGTTCACCAGAGTAGGGGGGTTTAAGGCATTTTGGTTACTTTATTATGTGAAATTGAGATTTCATCATCCTTGAACCAACCAAATAAATTTTTTTATTCTAAATGTCACGCAGTTTGTAATAATTCTAGTGCCAGCTTAGATGAAGGAAAGAATTTCAAAATATATATTTAAGTTGAACTTATATTCTGTACACGAGGAGTGAGTGTAATGTGTGGGGAAAAAACAGAGAGGGATAATGGGGGGGGGGGGCGTTAATAACGGAAAGTAGTGGTACATATAGATTTCTCAGCTCAAAAATCGTCTACTTGTGGTTTAGTCATGACTTAATTTTTTTTGTTTTTTCAGTTTATTTATTAAGTAACTCAACATCATATATTAACATTACTTCTCAAACCTATAGCTGTTATCAATTCATCTATAAATGATATTTGTAAATGATTTGAACATAATAATATGGAAGTATCACATCGACAAAAATTTTTTTGGGGGGGTGGTCGGCCTCATCAAAGAAAGCGTTTCCAAATTTAAAAAAAAATGCCTTTACATGCAGTGATTTATCGTATAAACGTGCATTGTTTTGTTGTTGTTGTTGTTTGTTTGGGTTTTTTTTTTTCGTTATATAAAGTTTTAGCTGGTATATCATGCAATGTGAGTTTGTCTTTTGATTGGCCCGAAAGTACCTGTTTCTATTCGGTTCAATATTTTGCGCCTTTTTTGATTATTATTTATCAAGATACGAGGGACAACTCTAGCAAACTCCATTACGTTACATGAGTTGTCTGCTCTTCTGATGAACTTGAACAATACAGTGCATTAAATGACATTTTTAGATAAGGCTGTTATTACCTTGATTGACCTCCATAATATTTTATTGACACATATTTTATAAATTCAGAATTAAAATTCTATGGCTAACAAACATTTTATAACATATATCATTTATAAACATGTATTCAGTTATATACATTTATATTATTCAGTTAGAGGTAAAAACTTAAGGGACGATGTAGGAATTTTATCTGCCAGTGCTGACGAAATCCCCGAAGTTAAGAGTTCAACGCGGAACAATCTTATCATGAGAAAATGTAGAGTCCTACAAAAAGACCTAAGTCCAGTGTCTAAAGTAAAAACATTACAAAGATCAGATTCAAATTACATTCAGATTTCAATAAAATTAAGATTAACACGTGTGAAAGCTTTCACATTTCACGTGCAAAATACACTATCGATTAAGTATCGTAAAGACATTAAATAAAAAAAAGTAAACAGGTGTACTGGTGCAGGTAAAACAACAATTAATGTTTATTCATTAGGCTATAAATAGACTACCTGTGACGCCGCTTCCCTGGCCCCGGGGGGCAGAGTCTTCCATCATGTAATCTGACAGGACGAAACACGGCCTGCTAGGTAATGTAGGTAATACCATGTTTCTATACCCAGGTACATGTAAGGATGCAAACCTGATTTTTTAACATATGGACAATTTGTGAATTTACTTCTTATTACACCTACACGGGACAGTTAGTGGGCCAAGTTTGGGTTTTTTTATATACCATGGTCATCTAATAGGATTTTTACATTTTATCACCTTGAGCGTTCTATTTTGAAGACAAAGAAGGAAAGGTAAGAAGTATTGCTTTCTCTCTCTCTCTCTCTCTCTCTCTCGTACAGACAATGTAAAGTACATATCCATTGTGTTGTATGTATATAGTTTGTTTACGTTTCCTTTTGTAATTATGACACGAATATTGCTTTGTAAATGCCTCTATGAATATTCATTGTTACCAGGTACAGTATTCTATACCTGTGAAATGACCTACTTTCATTAAACTAATTGTAACAGTTATACGTCTACATGTACATTGTATGTATATGCATCTATCAAATACCTACCCCTAATAAATAAGTCTCAAGGTTAAACAATATACATGTACCACATTGCATGCAAAGGCAATTGCAATTTACGTGACTAATTTCACCTACGTGAAGTTATAATTATCTTTCTTGATTTACCTTTGTTACCATTAAAATTTCATGTTTCTGTAAAATATAACAAAGGTTGATTTAAATTTATAATCAAAATGTAAATACCAATTACTGCAAATATATGCAATTCATCAGAAAAAAATATTATTTTAGTTGAATCTTAGCGACGATATATATTTCATTCTAAAAATAATGTTAAACCTTAAATTAACAACTTACTTTATCGCCTTCGGCATATAAACAAAACTGCGGTTTTTTTCCCTTGATTAATTTAAAATTCTTAATTTAACATCCTCACACACATAAAGTTTTGAAATCATTAATAGTCGCATTAATTTATTAATTTCAAAGAACATTAAAAAATAATTATATGAAGAAGAATGGACATGACAATATGTGCATGATATAAATGTAAGAAAATTACTAAATAAATTGACTTTTTTTTTGTAGGATATATCTAAAAAGAATCTCCTTGAAAGATTTCTCGGTTTGATCTCTGTTGGGTATTACTCTCTGGAATCTTTGCAAAATGCACATAATTATAACTTAAAGTTCTTTTTTCCACTACCCAAAGTGAACCATGCGCTAGGTACATGTTCATCGTCAACGGGGGTGAAATGAACCATTTTCCCCAATATGAAGTCCTTGAGTTCTCGCTGGACAAAAACCAAATATTCGCCCTTCATGCATCACTTACTCACTTTTTTACTGACTTGTCCCAATTTTCCAAAATTAAAATAGCAATATGATCTTTGATCATGCAGGTCAAACATGTAAATTAGACAATTTTTCTTGCATTTTATTTAGTTCTCGGCTTTTATTAACAAAAAGAATGCTGGGGACCCGATATATAACACTGGCTGCCATTTTTTGGAAGATTTCCGGGGTCATTTGTGGAACATTTACGGTATCTGTTGAGTGGTATCCTGGGAAGTTCCAAACATATGATTTCAATCGGAGCATCTCCGGAGAGTGCATACTTTCCATGAGGGAGGATGTGGTTCGGTGCATGCGCAATCACAGATTCCAGGATATTGAGGATCAATGGCGATATCAACCTCAGAATATAACTTATATCGCTGTGAATTGTCTGATGCAGGTGCACAATGATGTTTATTTATTTATTCTAGGTGTTTAAGATAGTGTATGATGTAAAATTAAAATGTTTTGATCAATGTGAAAATTATCATTTTTCTTTCTTTATTTATTTAATTTTTTTTTTTTTTTTTTTTGCTAATTTCTGACGATATCAGTTATTTAATGGATAACTTGATATCCAATCATCAAAGGATATCTACATTATATTTTCATTTCCTGGTACAAAAACCACGCTCACAAAATGAATTTAAAATAAATGTTTACTTAACTGAAAATCAGCTAAATTTAATTTGTATATTTACAATTTTGTAGGAATACTTTACGTCTCCACGACATGTCTGCTTGTGTAAGAAAGGAAGCAAAGCCGCAAGCGCCCAACATTTCCGGCAATTTGACGAGTTTTACTACTGTCAACTTCGGCAACTCTCAGATAAAATGTTCGCCTCTCTTCGTAATCTGCAGGTTTTAGATCTCTCCGATAATATGATTTCCCACATAGAAGGGGATGCCTTAAAATCTGTGACGTCATTGAAGTATTTAGACCTGAGTCGGAATCCAATGGAAACACAGACGTTGGCGGCAGGATTTTTGTGTGATGCGTCGGGGCTTGAGATTTTAGTGATGCAGGGGACTCGTTTTCACGGTTTTCCACTCCATATTTTTGACTGCAATGAAAACCTTGTGAATCTATCTTACATTGACTTTAGTGATAGCTTAATGCATTCTATTCCACATAATGCTTTCAAAAACATCCCGAATATTTTGTCCCTAAATTTGACATCAAACAATATAAATAACAGTTTGATTCAGCGGGACGCTTTTGTAGGTCTTACAAAACTAGTCTCTGTCGACTTTACCGAGAATGACTTAACATCCATACCGGAGACACTCTGTGCGCATGCACCGGAAATTCGATACTTACACATGTGCGAAAACAGGTTACCATCATTTGATTTTCAGGCCATACAGTCATGTAAAAGTTTATTGTTTCTGGACTTGTCGCACAATGACATAAGGAATTTAGTTGGAAGAATAACAAGTTCATCTCCTTTGAAATCTCTTAGGATAGCTAAGAATTTCATCACAGATTTGCCGACAGAAGGTTTCCTCTACGAAGCCCGGAATCTGACAATGCTTGACCTATCAATGAACTCCATTAAACACGTTTCCAAGAAGGCATTTGACGGACTTTTGTCTTTGAGGAAGCTCGACCTCTCAGATAACTTACTGAAAAATTCAACTTTTCCACTGTTTTCGCAGCTTTCGGCATTAGAGGAGTTAGATATCAGCGTAAATTCCTTCAGGAAAATACAATCAGGATTCTTCGAAGGATTAAAATCTTTGAATGTTTTGAATTTGTCCCGGAACGACTTGGAAGATTTAGAAAGCAATGCCTTTGACGGCCTGAAAAGTCTTACAATTTTAGACCTGAGAAATAATAAGCTTTCCGACTTTGAAGACAATGTTTTTTCAGTGTTAAAGAATCTTAAAACACTTCTTCTCTCTCAGAATAGAATTATTTCTTTTGATCAAGTGAAATTTCCATCATTTCTGGAAACCCTGAATGCGGCCAACAATAGACTGGAACATTTTCCACCTTCTATTTCAAATACAAATATTAAAGAAGTGGTGTTGGATAATAATGAAATGACGTCATTTTCAATATCACAAAGTTTGAACTTTTCGTCAATAACCTCACTATCTATCTCTAACAATCTTATAAATACATTAATTGAACATTCTTTTAAAACTTTTACAAACCTAAAATATTTAAATTTCTCAAGGAATCGCCTCGCTCTCAATTTATCACGTGATTATTATGACGGTGCTGATTCGATTAGTACGTTAGACCTATCAGACAACAGGATACAAAATATAAATGGAATGTTTTCAACATTTGAATCTCTGTCGAAACTTCGGAATTTATTTCTGTCTAAAAATCCGATAACTCGTGTTCATAACCTGATCCCTGAACTTCTAGATATGAAGGCCTTTACTGAGATGAGCCTTGAGAATATTGATCTCTCGTTCTGTAACATTTCATATGTGTCTGTGGAGGCGTTTGATGGTTTTCCCAACCTAAACTTAGTGGATCTAACCGGAAATGAACTAACCGTGATAAAACCCTTCAAAACGTCCAATCCAAACACGGTTTACAATCTAACAAGGAACCCCTTTGAATGTTCATGCTCTATGAGATGGCTCACGGAAAGGGGTATTAAAGTAGGAGACCAATTTATTTCAACCGATAGTTATCTCGTTGATTTTTGTACCGTTTTTCCTAACAATTACACTATGAAGGTCCGAAATGTAGCGAAGATGGATTACTTGTGTAAAACGCAAGATGAATGTCCTACGAAATGTTTCTGCCTCGGAATTTCAGAAACCAATAATACGACTCTAGCTAAGTGTTCTGACATCACTTCCGTCCCTCCAGGAATACCTCGGACTTCACTTCAACTGTTCCTTGACGGAAACTCCCTGCACAATCTGAATTTCACGAGTGATGTTGATGATCACTTTCTCACAGAAGAGCTATATGTAAATAATAGCGACGTCATGCTTTTAATAAGGGACTTTTTCAGGCCATTTCAAAATCTCCGGAAGTTGGTTTTGTCGAACAATAAAATAAAGAAGCTACAGAACGATGTCTTCTCTGACCTAAAAAATCTGGAAGAATTGCACATCAGAAACAATTCCTTAAAGGCATTTAGATCAAAGGCATTACCTATTTCCAACAAACTAAAGTTACTTGACATAAGTTACAATCAAATAAAATTCTTAGATTCGGAGGTGCTTGAATCAATATCAGAAAAGAGGCATCTTAGGAGAATTTTTATCGGAAACAATGCATGGGTGTGTAATTGCAGGAACCAAGCACTGCGATATTGGGTGGACGAGCACAGGAGCCGGATTTTTGATCGTGAATCAATCAAATGTGAAAATAATCAGGAAATGACTCATGTCAGATTTCAACGATTTACTTGTGTCGCGGCAAAGCAAACAGTTACGTCATCTTCCCAAAAAGGAATAATTGTGACGTCAGTAATTCTCCTGTGCGTGGTATTTCTAGGTTTTGTCTCTTGTTTTTACTTTCGACGTGACATAATAGCTGTTGTTGGAACTAAGTTTAACATTAACTGCTTACATCATCAGTACGACCAGCTTAAGGTCTATGATGTGTTTCTTATGTTTGATTTCAATGACCCGAAAGGATGTGATTGGTCAAACAAGGAATTGTTACCATGGTTAAATAACACCGGATATAAGATAACAACTTCCGACTCAACAGACCTGGCAAAGAGTCTTTTAGAGACCGAAAACACAAAATTAAGAGACAGCAAATGTGCATTATTTGTAGTGACAAAATATATCTGTAACAATCAGTATTACTTGAACTGTTTCCGGTCCGCGGAAAAACATGCGCGCGAAGATCATAGATTCAAGTTGATTATTGTAATTGTAGGGGACATAGACCATTCAATTTTAGAGCCAGAATTGCGAAAAACTTTATCTACCGGAAATTACATCACAGCACGTTCTCGGTGTGTTTGGGAAAGACTTGCGTTTGAGTTGCCGAAGAGGCAGTTCTTACTGCAACCTTTTGCTCATGAGAATGAGGTGGATGAATCTGAGACAGCTGTTATTGTATACAGTGCTGCAGGTCCTGGTAGATCGGAGGAACAAGAGACTGTGCAGATAAAGTAAACCTAGTGTGATGTGTCAAGTTCTATGCAGTATAAAGAGAGAGAGAGAGAGAGAGAGAGAGAGAGAGAGAGAGCACAATGTATTGTAAAATGAAGGAAAGTTTGATATTTTTATTTTTTGTGCAAGGTTTAATTTAATATGCTAAAAATGCAGGAGAGAGAGAGTGTGTACAAATATTTCCTTTACAATTGTGTATGAGGGAGAGATAAGAGGGGGTATTATTCTAGTTAATTTACAGATTTGTTTACATGTCGAAGAATTAAAACTAAAATTTCTGATATTAGAATATAGTATATGGAGGTCAGCGATCTTTCCGTATGTATAAAGTTATAAACAACCTTTTGACTGAGGAAATAGTTCGCAACTTGAAATAGTTTTACATTATACTCATAAAAATTGATATCAACTGAAGGTTTTGTAAAAATTTATTTTGCATGCATTGTCATATTAAACATTTTACACAATTATATTATTATGAGGAAATCACTTATTAATATTACGATAATGATTATGGAATCAATTTTAATTTATTTCTCAAAACAACAGGGAACATTTTTTTGTTATTGTCTGAACGCGGTGCATACTGTAGATTCCTAAATATACGCGAGGAATAAATTATCGCGTAATTACGCGAAAAGCACCACTCGCGAAATAAAATTACACGCTTTTATTTTTATGGTGCTTTAATGTATGTAAAATCTTTAGATAAATCACCCATTCACGAATTATTTTTCTCGCGATTTGACGCCCTTTGACCATTTTGCGAGATTAAGTATTCGCGTAAAATAAGGAATCTACAGTATTAATTGTTTAGGTCACTATCTATTTTGTCCTCATTTTTGAAACTTTTAAAGCATTTGTTAAGTTTGGACAGTTTCCCAAGCATCAGAAAAAGAGAAAGTGGTAAACACAACATGCCAATGAATGGCGACGTTTTATTATTATACGGCGCACAGGAAATTGACTGATTGATTGTGTGTTGTTTTACGGAGAAGAGCGCGCTGTTATGTAGATTTTACATACTTTAAATGATCAAAAAGACGTGCAGGTATCACTAGATCGTCAGTATACAAGTGGAATGGTTTAGAACAAAATCTACTGAGGAATAGGTTCTGGTAAAAGCAAATGACGCCATCACTTTCACAAAAGAAATTGCCTTTTGTTGAATATAGTGAGTGTACTGTCCCTAACATACTGAAGTAAATCTTCAGAATTGCTCATGTTTGTGCGAGATTGGTCCTTAGCCTGTTTATACAAACCAGCGAAATTACAGAATAAAAGTGGGGCATATCCATTTTTTTCAAAAACAAGGATAAAACATGATCCTGCTTTAAACATTTTGACTTTACCATCTTTGCGCCCTCCTGAAGGCGATACTATGCATATCATTAAATGCCTTATATCTTTCAATTGGAGTATATACATGTATCTACTGCCATGTAAATGGACGAAAAATGTGCTAAAGAGTAGTGAAAATTTTAGAATGTTGAAGGAATGATTATTTATTTCTTTGAACAATTTTTCCCAAGATTTTACCGGCAACCTAGGCTAGTACGTACACTAGTATTGTTTAAATATCAAGAAAGATTTAAACATTTTTATCAACACCGATTATCCTCTCTGGGTTAACGTAGATGCCAAGTCCTACATCTTGTGCTTTTGGATTATGATTAAAATTGATATTTGAATAATTTTTAAAAATTGTGTAAAAATTGATTAAGAACTTTTTGGTAACTCAATGAACTTATTGTTAATTCTTTGGGATCTTTTTGAGGACAAAAACAGTAATATCACTGGGTTGAATTTTTTGAGGGAGGGGATTTACACAGAATTTTCTTGTGGTGTCTGTCACTGAAATTATAATGTGGACCAAAAATGCATGAAGTCGTAAAGGATTGAGAACAGATTTTAAGTGCCATTTTATTTTCAAACATTTATGCAGAGTAGTGCAAAAACCTCAATTTAGAATCTGGTGTTTGAAATCTAACAAGTTTTTTGATATATTTTACAAAAATTGATTCAGAATTGCTTTTTCCCTATCTCCGCCAATATTCTTTTCGACAAAAAAGTTAATTACTCATTATGGATTTTGAATTGGTATATTTTTTGCGCACAGTTTGATTACAGGTAAAATTATTTTTGTTTTAAAGGTGAAAATACATTTGTTTTGAAAGATTTTAGTACACAATTTTTGCAGTTACCTGATATTAAAGGATATTTTGAGAACTTTGTTAAACCTGCAGCTCGTTTTATTTGATAATACATCATGTAAAAGCAACTAGATTTAGTTACTGATTTTGGAAATGAAACAACAAATATGATCAAATTTTAAACATACATGTACATAAATACAAATTCTCTCTATGTAAGGAGTTCACATGTCCAAATAGTCAAATCTGACAAAGCACATGCATCGATGTTCATAAGACTACTACACACAGATGTTGAAGTTTCCCCATGATTTATGATTATAACTTGGTGAAGGTTGCCCAGTTTTTCAAAGATGTGTTTTTCTTCAAGTCACTGAATGCTATCAAAATATTTCTATCCTACAGTTTAAACGTCAACTCTCTTGGATCAATCTTGTACATGTATATATATTATATAAATATTGCATGCAAGCTAGGGTATGATTGGAAATTGCCCCCCCCCCCCCTTGTAAACCATTGTTAAGCATGTAATATTTACCATATTATACAATTATACACTGTATCACAATATGTATCAAAATGAAACAACTTAACATTTTTCTTGATATATGTCAACTGAATTCAGTAAAAATCACATAACACTGTGTTAAAAGAAATAAATATTACATAACACCATGTTTTTAATATAATGAATATCTTATAACACAAACTAAGCAAACGGATATTGCAAAACAAATATATATAACACAGATTGAACAGACGAATATATTTGTCATATAACATGATATTTAGAATCCTTTCCAAAATGTTAATTGTTTAAATTAAATGACCAACATAGTTTTTGGGAGAGAGGCATACTTAACTTACAATTGAACTGAAGTTGGTAGATAGTAAATTCAAATATAAATAATTGAACGGCTGTACCTAACTCTTTCGGTTTGTTGGAACTTCTGAAAGATTTGTGATATTCGCTGAATTCAGCTGACATATATAAAAAAAAAAGAAATTTCTGAGAATGTACTGTCATTAATTACGGCATAAGGTCAACCCTTGCAGTATCTCCCAAAGCCCTGTTTTTATTCCCTCTCTGATCCTAGACTTCTACTAAAACAGTGTCTTTTGTCCATCGAGGCGACAGGAGTGACTTCTAACTAAGATTGTACTTTTATGGCTTGATTTTCTCATCATATGCTGTGTTTTAATTCTTTTCCAACACCATCAAGTGCTCTTATGGCTATAGGTCCAATCGAACGGTAAGTGAATATATTGCAATGGACCTATTTTTACAGGCATCATGATTCCAAGTGTTCCCAGTGTGTTCTTACCTATAGCAGCACGACAATGCCACATTCTAGATATGAATCATCCAAAGGGCGCAACCATAGAGCATCATGTTTGGAGAGCAGTTTGTCTGAATATTTCTTGAAAGATGAAACAGAGCACGGCATATGGTCATATATGTATTCCCCGACCGTGAGTATATTCTTCTCTCACCGACAGTGGTATCAGTTTTCCAAATTTTATAAGCATTATCACCTCCGAGCAATATTACCTGATCACCCAGGAAGTGGATCATGGTATCATAAGACTGAGGGTATAGTAGCAATTTTTAACGAATGTTTTACGACGAATCAGATTCAACTTATTTACATGAAAGTGTAATACATGTATATACAAATGGCATATTATTTAGGAATAAGATTGTTCTGTGTTATGTTTTCTTTACCTTTCAGACTACTAATTTTCCGAATCACTAAAAAGAAAAAAAAACCATTAACCCCATACTGGTGCGGTAAGATCCTTATCTTGTATAATAGACTGTATTGATGCAATCTTTCTTGAAACGTAAACACCTGTGAGGTATAGGACAAATAAGAACAGTGCTTTACCAAAAAATAGAAAAATAATCCACATGGAATCAAAGTTCATGAATGAAGTCGCAATTCTAGATATTGTTACTGTAAATAGAAACATGGAGATAATTTTTCCATTGACCGGGAGAAATTTCTGGTTTGTCCACATTATAAGGACTGGGAAAGTCACTGATATAGAAAAACTTACAATCATAGTAAATATTAATGCACCATATATGACATCATAAAGTGACGTTAGAAGAAAGCCAAGTAAATGCAATCAATAGCATGGCATTGAATATGAGGAGCATTTTTGCCGGACTAACGCATTTCACAAGAAATATTCCAAGAAATTGTCCGAAAAGGGAAAAAAATCTGTCTCCGGAGGTGAAAAGGCTTGAAAACGTTATTGGCCAGTTCATATGTACCACGATAAATGATGGTATAATGGTTCTGTATGATGAATGCATAACTCCATATACTGCTATATAAATAATTATATAAATAATTATATTTATAAGTCCCAAAATTCGTAGACGTCGAACATGTTTCTTTTTGTTTTCCTCCTTTTTCTTTGGAATTTCCCTGACAGTTTTGTTTGGCATAGAGATGCAACATAAAGCAATAAAGGGAAGTGACATCATAAAGCAAAGTCCAGTAGTTATTGTATACGGAATATAAATCATTGACGAACGATCATCAGAAGGCGTTCCAGTTAGAGACCCGTTATTTACGTTGTTTCTATTTCCGTTAATTTCAATGTTACAGTAGATATTGTCTGTACAATTGACAGCATCCGTAACATTAAGAATAGGAATGTTGAAACCACGTGACATGGCAAAAGGTAAAATTACCAAGGAAAACACAGAATAACCTATTGCAAATACAAAAGATGAAGCAATAAGGTAGGAGTTACCATTATTACCCCACGTGGTTACCAGTCCAGCGATGCCGCCTATTTAGAATAAAAGACAAACAGTTCAATGTAAATATATGAAATAAATGTAGATAATGATAATATTTCATGTAAAATGACAGTCTCTCCCCCTAGGTAGCTAAGTGCAAATAATTTCCAAACAATAATCTTTTAGTGAACTATCTTTTTTGACTTTCTCTGCAAATAAAGTAACTATGATAAAAAAAATTTTGTGAACTCATTGCAAAGACGATATTAAACGTCATTGTACATATAACAACAAAACATGAAACTCATTACAAGTAATGAGAAGGTCTTCCTTTATACTACTTCCTGTTGTATGTCCTTTCTAATGCCGGTATTAGCCTAAAACTTATGTAGACACAAAATTACTTTAAAAAGATAACTTTTTTGCATCACTTCCAGACTTTACGATCGGAAGTAATGACGACACACGAT